TTTCACTCAGCTCCTCTTTTGCCGGCCTGCCCATTACTGTCTTGCAACATATTTTTTTTTTTTTTTTTGAGACGGAGTTTCGCTCTTGTTACCCAGGCCGGAGTGCAATGGCGCGATCTCGGCTCACCGCAACCTCCGCCTCCTGGGTTCAGGCAATTCTCCTGCCTCAGCCTCCTGAGTAGCTGGGATTACAGGCACACGCCACCATGCCCAGCTAATTTTTTGTAGTTTTAGTAGAGACGGGGTCTCACCGTGTTGACCAGGATGGTCTCGATCTCTTGACCTCGTGATCCACCCGCCTCGGCCTCCCAAAGTGCTGGGATTACAGGCTTGAGCCACCGCGCCCGGCGCAACATATTTTTATACTTTCTCTAATAAATCTGCCTTTCTTTACCTACAACTGTCTTGACAAATTCCTCTTACCCCCACACCACTGGCCCCTGATAGTTACTCACGGCTCAACCTGCAACAAGAATCAGAAAGAACTCCTAACACAGCTGAGCATTTGGTTTCTCTCGCCTGAAAGCTTGAGTTTGGGCCCCTGATGGATTGTGCATCAGTGGGTGTGTGTAGCTGCCTCTGTACCATGTCAACCTGGGAGCCATGCACACCCTGCCATGAGAAAGGAAGAATAGAGAAAGCTGGTCTGCAGAGGTGAGTTGAGAAGCTGTACAGAGGGAAGGAACGAGGCAGAGAGAGTGCAGAATATTTAAATTCCTGAGGCCTGGTCTCACGTCTGCATTTGGATTTTATGTATTTCTCTTGCCCCCGCACCCTTCCTCTCCTTTTCCTCAGATTCTAAATCCAGTGAATCCAACCCCAACTTCACCCAACACTTATTTTTTTTTTTTTTTTGAGACAGGGTCTCACTCTGTCACCCAGGCTGGAGTGCAGTGGTGTGATCACGGCTCACTGCAGCCTTGACCTCCTGGGTTCAAGTGCATCTCCCATCTCTGCCTCCCAAGTAGCTGGAACTAGCCCAATTCTCCACCCTCCCCTGCCCCAGTTAGGACTCCACAGTTCTCTCAACTCTATTTAAGGTGAGAGGTCATGAAGTGCTAGCTTGGTTTTCAGGCCACCTTATGAGGATGGCAGGGAGGGGATTCTGAGAGAAGTGGGCAGGAGGTGCCCCATGGGTGTCTATTCTGGCTCAGGTCCCTGTTGCCACTCACACTGCTCTTCTTGCCATTCTCACTTTCTCAGATCTTATTTAGGTCTCAGGTCAAATACCATGCCCTTGAAGAAATCTCTGTGGACCACACTTGCTGAAGTGACAATCAGCTCCTCCCCTGCCCTTCTCTGATATGGGAGGAATTGTGTCCCTCTCTCCTTGCAAAAAAATTCATATCGGTACCATCCTGGCCCCCGGTACTTCAGAATGTGACCGTATTTGGAGATGGGGTCTTTAAGGGGGTAATTATGTTAAAATGAGGTCTTAAACTATTATGACTGTGTCCTTCTAAGAGGAGATTAGGACACAGACAGGCATATAAGAAAGACCATGTGAGGATATGAGGAGATGTACAAGCCAAGGAGAGGGGCCTCAGAAGAAACTCATCTTGCCGACATCTGATCTGGGACTTCTGGCCTCCAGAATTGGGAGAAAATTAATTTCTGTTATTTAAGTCACTCGGTCCCTGGTGCTTTGTCACAGAAGCCTTAGCAAGCTTGCACACTCTCTACCCCTTTCCCTGGTTTTATATTTCCTCAAGAGGCAGGTTAATGCTATAGCGTGCTTAAGATCATAGCTCTGTGGTGTGGTTAAGAGCATAACTCTGGGTGTGCCTGCAATAAGGGCAGTAGTAGTGGCAGCATCTGTTACGTGCCTGGTGGGTGTGCCGAGCCCCATAGATAGGTGAAGTGATTGTGGTAGGAATGTGTTTGGTGTGCCTGGTGCTGAAGACAGGCGTGGGTTAGGCTTGGGGACAAACAAGGAAGGTTAGGCTGAGGTGGCCAGGGCTGAGGCTGGGCTGGGGAAGGTGCTTTGCACCTGCAGTGGCACCTGGGACACCTCTTCTCCCTGGTGCTGTTGGCCTCCTCATCCCAGGCAGGAGGGGCTCCCTTCTAAGCAGGTTCTGGCTCTCACTCTGTCCCCTAGGGACTCTAGTTGCAACCCAGGTGGTAAGGCCTTGTAAAACATCATTGGGCACATCACTGCCACCAACCCTATTTCATTTGTTGACCAGGTTTTGGTGAGCCTGTTCATTCAGTGAGCTAGAAGGGGTGGATCTTGCAAATTAGTTGAGGCATATATTAGGCCCCCACTAAAGGCCTTGGATATGAGTAAGTATGTGCAGACAGTTGGGGCTAGAAACAGCAGACAGCCACAATCATTTTGTTCTAGAACTGGAAATTGCTTTGTCTTCCAGGTATAAATGGGTCCTCAGAGCACTCGGTCTCTCCTTCAGGCTGTAAGTCTGCCAGCCACCCAGAATCCAGTTGTTGGCACCAGAAAGACCAAATGCCCTGAGGCCTGACTCAGCTCTTCACTTGTCACCCAGATGCGTTAACACTATGTAGACACAGAATTGCCAAACTTGCCTGGGCTCCCCAGGGTCCAAATGTGAAACCTGGAAAGCTGCCACTTCGCTCTTTTCTGGCTGTTCTGTATTCTGCTGTCTACAAGACTTAACATCAAGATATTTTTGTTTATATTTCACAAGAACTTAAGCTTTTGTGAGACATTCTTTTCTCATCTGGCCCACTATAATGCTAATTTCTCGGAAATTTCTCTTCTCTTTTCTGGCTTGTTCCAGGTTCACTCATGTTTTATATTTCCATAATTCTTCTATTCTCCTTTCTCTTTCCTTTCTCTCTGGTTCTAGTCTCCTATTTAAAAGATGACTTAGAAACTTTGCTCTGCTTTCTCCTCCAGTTACTGTCTTTCTCTTTTCTGCTCACCCTTAAAGACTTTTCCTTTTTATTCTCATCTTCATCTCCTACTCTCTTCTGGCACTAACTGAAGGTCTTACCCAGCTTCCTTCCTGACCTTCTGGACCGCCACCTGCTTTCTCAAAGTTCCTCCTGTCCCTTCTACAGAGATGCCTCTCTTAGGATCCTTGCTTTTATCGGGGACCTACAATCTCTGCATCAGTAGAAGGCAGACAGCCTGTTTGCTTGGGGGCTAACACTTGCCTTGTCCCTGATTTCAAATAACATATTGATCTGTTTATAGAAGTTACTCAATGGTATCTTAATTGATTTTATTAGGTTCCTTTTTATGCTTATCTTAGAAGAGGTACATGACTTTGGATTGGGTAATAAAGAGTCGTTTATTGCATGTGTACAGATTATAAGTTCCCAGGCACACCCTGATCAAAGCAGGATCCTTTTGTTAGCTTCATGGGGCATGAAGTTGGCACCAAAGTATTTGCGGGGATTTGCAAGGAAGTGAAGCCAAAAGGATGTCTGATCACACAGTCAGGTGTAACCAAGCCCACTAAGTAACCAGGGCGTGAACTTTGTCTATCCCTGAAATGACCAAAGATTGACCAGAAGAAAAGGCACATGTGTGATTCATCCCTTGCCTCCACAGCAATTCGTTTGGTTATCTACTTTTCGTATTACCATTGGCTAACCCTCTAAGGGTACCACGTCTGGACATGTGGCCTCATGATTCAAAGTCTTAAGATTTACAGCATTTTCCTTGGAGACCAAGGGCATTCCTGTGGGTGATACCTTTTTAATACCCAGAGGTTAGTCATTTACTATGGGTGAGCCATTCAAGTAAACTGGTTGCCAGGCTACCACTTCAGGTGAGAGTTCATACTCTCATAACTAATCCCCAGCCACACTGTGACTTCTATGGGGAAGCCTAAAGGGGACAATGTTACAGGAACAGTGCCAGCCACTAAGACATTTTCAAATTTATCCTAGAGAATGCTAAGAAGCTTCTCAATTCCATCCAATGAGTCCTTCACAGGAACATTTCCCTAGGCTGAAAAACTGCATGAAATAATTTATCTTTATGTTATTAATTGGTTACTATAAGGGTTACAGGAATTATTTAGGAACCTGATGATACCTGGTTTTCTCCATAGTTTACATAAGCCAGTCCTTGCAAAGATTCTTTCCCACCTCCTTAATTTTTTTTTCCTCAGAGATCCCTTGTTCTTACCTGCAAGGATTCTTTGGCGTGGTGCTTTTCCAGATAAGGTGTAAGAGTCAGGATTTCTGGATTGTGTTCCTAGACGTGAATGAGCTTGGATAAGTAAATCATGTTCTCTTTTAGTCTGTTTGTGGTTCTGTAACAAAATATCATAAACTGAGTAGCTTCTAGGCAGTACACATTTATTTCTCACAGTTCTGAAGGCTGGGAAATCTAAGATCCAGGCCAGCAGATTTGGTGTCTGCTGAGGGCCTGCTTTCAGGTTCACAGAGGGCATCTTCCCGCTGTGTCTTCACATGGCAGAAGTGGCAGGCGTCTCTCTCCAGCCTCTTTCGTTAGGACACCAATCTAATTCATAAGGACTCTGCCCCCATGACCTATAATCACCTCCCAAGGCCTCCACCTCCTAATACTTTACCTTGAGGGTTAGGATTTCAACATATGAATTTTGCCAGGATATAAACATTCAGACTATAGCATCCTGATGGTAAAAATGAGATAATAATACTTATCTCTTTCTTCCAACAAAAAGATAATGTGAAGTTAAAAGGAGAGTATATATATATAACGTTAATTTCCTGTGCAAAATGTGTTAAAGAGTTGTCTGATTAATTGCTTCATAAGAAAATTGCTTTGAGACTAGGCCTATTGATCTAGAATAAGTAGTCAATTTGCAGTCAGTTCCCTAGGGAATAGACATTAAACAGATTTTTGGTTTTGTATTCTACAAATAAAGCAATCTATTAATTGAATTCCCCTCAGTTAATTCTTCACTCAGGTGACTCTGGAGAGGGCGGGGGACAGATGTGGCCCCAGCCCAGGCCCCAGGAGCGCCGCGGAACCGAACGAGGGCGGTGGAGGGCGCGCCCCTCGGTCCCCGCGCTCTCCCCGTCGGGAGCGTCCTTGTCGCCCCCGCAGCGGCAGCTCGGGGTGTCTGACAGGAGCGGGGCTCGCCCAGTCTGGTCCGGGGAAAGGCAGGGCTGGGCAGGGGCGTTGCCCCGCCTCGGGAGAGGCGGTCCGGGCGGGGCCGGCGTTTATGAGGCTCGGAGTCACCACCTCGCCCGGGTCCGCACCTCCTCGCCTGCAGCCGTCGAGAGCAAGCCAGAGAGTGGTGAGCTGCGCGGGGCGCGGGGGACGCGGCTCCGGCCGGGCAGGGGCGAGGGCCCCCGGGTGCTGCTTGGGGCGCGGCCCGGAGGGCATTCGGCTCCACACGACTGGGACGGGGCGCGCGCGGAGCCCCACAGCCTGTGCTCTGCCCTCGAGGTGCGGGGAGGCGGGCAGCGATTTGGGCCCGGGGCGGTCGCCTTTGATTCTCTAAGGCGCCGGAGCTCGGGGAAAGCTGGCGGCGCCTTCCGAGACCCACACACGTCCCCGGGGCGGCAAGGGCCACACTCTGCGGAGCCTCGATGCCTCCGCCGCCGTCGCACCTTCGCCAGCTGCGCTCTGCGGCCCCGGGGTGAGCCTCACCCGGTGACTAGCCGCAGTCCCGTCGCCGGAGTCCCGCCAGGTCCCGCTGCGAGGGGAGGCGGAAGGGCTTACCCCGCAAACAAAGCGGTCGCTCCGGGTTCTCTAACTGGGATCGAAGCCAGGTCACCCTTCTCCGGCGCACGGCCGCGGGGGAGCCAGGGGACTTGCCAGGACTGCGTAGGTCGCCTCCCGGGACCCACAGCTTGGCTGGCCTGGCCCCATTTGAGCGTCAGCTGAGGCTGGATTTAGAGATCTCGCTGTGGAGCGCGCGAACGACTTCTTCCACCAGGACCAGCTGCGGCCAGGGCTGCAGCCGCTCTCTGGTTGCTGACCCCACAGAAAATGGTGCTTGCTCCATGGCCTGAGCGGGCATGACCCGGCTTAGCAAAGACTACAAACTCTAAGCTTTTCCGAATCAAATGCCCCTCTCTACCCAGACTGTCTGTGCCGAGGAAGTGTTGGGTGTGGCAGAATATTGGTCCTAGTGTGTAGAGCCCTGGAGGGGGGCTTCTCAAACATGTTTGAGGGTTTATTCTGAATGATCGGGTGCTCAAATAAAAACGCTGATACGATTGCACTCTGAGAAAAGGAGCTCAGGGCCAGGGAGTGGGGGACGCGTGGGTTGAGGCTGGGACTTGGGCTTCAGCCTTACCGTTGTTAGCCATTCCGATTACAGACACTGTGGAAGGTTTGTAAAGTGACTCTGGGAGTTGGGTTGCTGCACAACCAGGACACCTGGACCTCAGTGATCCAGGCTGTTTCTAGGATTCTGGGAAAGGAATGGGAGACAAGCTGAGTTAATTCTGAAGAAATGAGAGTGACACAATTAAGCACTTGGGCACACAGCCTGGGAAAAAGCTTTCATCAGCTCCCAAAGTTCTGATTTGTTTACTTCAAGTTTATAAACCTTTCACACTAGGAAGCGTTTCCATAAAAGTTAAAGTCGAATAAGGATCATTTACTTTTCTACATCAGTAGTCTCCCGTTTAGACATGGACTTTCAATCTCAGGGTAGGCTCTCTCATTCAAAGGATGATCATGCCCAATCCTTAATCCCTGGGAGACTTGAGTAGCTTCCTAAATTCATAACATTTAGAGGTGACATTTAAAATCAGCACATAGTCCAGATTCTGGGGAGAAGTTTGATGCTGGTCCTTGACTATTTAGCGCTTATAAGTGCTAGGAAGATGCCTCACTAAGTTACATAAGAAGCAGAAGAGGACAAGAGTTGCCTGAAAACTCGTTGTGTCCAAATATAATAGGTGTCTCACTCTGCTAAGGGGTCTTTAATCTATGATAGTTTGCTCTGCTACAAATATGCGCAGGTGCTTTATAAAGACTTTTCACTTAGTGAGGTCAAGTGGCCAATGGTGGTGTCAGGTATAATTTAGGTAACTTTTACATAGAACCCTCATTAGCCAGACTCTAAACCCTTATCTGCAGCCAAGTCCCTATGTTCACGTAGTATGCCTTCAGAATCTTGTGTTGATCTTAAATGCCAAGCGGCTTGTGAACTTACGTACTTGATACTTGTGGTAACTGATCTCAAACATAGCCCTTCTTTCCTGTGATCATTTGGGACACAGGTCCCACTCAGGACAGCTGGGTAGCTCCGTGTGTCTGGTGCCTGAACTGGATCTTCTCATTAAATTCTGAGTGGGTAACTTAAGAGCCAGTCTAGGCAGTGCTTGCTGTATACTTCCAGTTCGCTATTGACTAAGTATCATGTGTTCTCTTTTGACCTCTGTTCAGCTTTTCCGTAGGGGGAAAAAATCAGTCACTGAGAAGCAGAAAGTAACTTTAACTTCTTTGATGCCAGGGAGCTATGATGAGAGAGAAATCCTAGGAAAGGACCAGCTCCCTTGATTCCAACTTGGCATCACTGAATTTGTCTTTTTAAAATGGACTCTCCTCAAGCCCTGCTCTGTGTTTTAGCAAGGACAGGAAGTAGACTGGCTCTTGTGTTATTTGAGGAGCAGTGTGGGGCAGTGCCTAGGGGCTTGGGAAATAATCTACTTCTGTTATGGCTTGTGTATAGGTCGGGGACCTTTATGAGCAGAAATTTTAGAAGTGTTCCTGGGAATCTGAACAACCGGACTGATTGCTGGGTGGGCCTAGAATAGAATAGAGCAGTGGATAGCTACTCTTTATTAAAGGGAAAAGCTGCCAATTAATAGCCAATTAAAATGGTCTGTATTCTAAATCATGTTTAAATTCCTTACTCCAAAGCTACACTGAACTGCTTACTGTAGGTGTTTACAAATGTGGAGACCCAGATAATATTTCTCTACTTTTAGTTTATTTTTTGAAGTGTCCCCCCCCCCCACTCTTCAATATTCTCTGATCTTGAAAACACCAGGATGGGGTTCACATACCTGTAGTGTTTGTAGAGTGGAAAGATTTTTGACATTTGATTGTATGTCTCTCTTTGTAAACTACTCATCTGAAAAGAAAAAAGAAAAAAAAATTTGGGCAAATGAGGATACTTATCTCAATAGATGTCTGTTTTGTTTTTCTGAAAGTTTTGAGGTTGATAATCTTGATTTCAAAAGAGCATCAGTTATAATGCTTTTCAAAAAAGAAATCTGATGTTTGGAAGTTGACATAATCAAAACGGTGCATAGCCAATTTTTGGAAAACTTTATTGGTTAAAATGTGGTTATAATTAGCAAAGTGACTGTACAAAATGGCATTATTATATTCAATATTCAGTATTATTTTGTGCTTGAATGAGTCACCCAGATAGTTTTCTGACCAAAACACGATCCTTTTAAAAAAAATTGTTTACAATATCAGTGTGTTATATAGTTACAGATGAGTGAGAGAATTAATTTCTCAATGAAGTAATTAACACTTTCAAACGACTGTACTTTAAAATTTCAAAGTGTAATGTTTTCTATTGGTGTAGAATGAGCCTAAACAAGCAGTAAAAAGCCATGAGGGGTACTCCTTCATCTACCAGTCACAGGATGACTTTGGGCCACCATGTTAGCTCTCTGAGCCTGTTTCCTTATGGTGAGAATACAGTAGTCTCCCCCTTGTTTTCAGGGGTTGCATTCTAAGACACCCCGTGGATGCTTCAAACCATGGATAGTACTGAACCCTATATATACTGTTTTTTTTTTTTTTTTTTTTTGATTTGATAACCAAGCCTGTTACTTAGTGACTAGTGGGTGGGTAGCGTCTACAGTGTGGATAGGCTGGACAAAGATATGATTCCTATCCCAGGTCAGACAGTGAGATGGCAGGACAGTGCAAGATTTCACATTTCTCAGAACAGTATGCAGTTCAAAACTTATGACATTGAGTGAAGTGGCCTGTGCCTGAAGTCTCAGCTACTAGGGAGGCTGAGGTAGGAGGATGAACTAAGCCCAGGAGTTTGAGTCCAGCGTAGGCAACATAGCAAGACCTCACCTTAAAAAAAAAAGTAAAAAAGGCCAGGCGAAGTGGCTCACATCTGTAATCCCAGTACTTTGGGAGGCCAAGGTGAGTGGATCCTGAGGTCAAGAGATCAAGACCATCCTGGCCAACATGGTGAAATCCCATCTCTACTAAAAATACAAAAATTAGCTGGGCATGGTGGTGCACACCTGTACTCCAGCTATTTGGGAGGTTGAGGCAGGAGAATCACTTGAACCTGGGAGGCGGAGGTTGTAGTGAACCGAGATCGCTCCACTGCACTTCAGCCTGGCGACAGAGCAAAACTCCATCTCAAAATAAACAAAGAACAAACAAAAACCATGAATTATTTCTGGAATTTTTCATTTAATATTTTCCTACTGCGGTTGACCTTAGGTAACTGAAACCATGGAACAGAAACTACAGAGAATAGGCAACTAGCTACTGTATTAATTTTCTCCTGTCATTCTCATAAGGTTGTCATCATAACTAAAATAGATAAATGGGAACATGCTTTATAAGCTGAAAAGCACCACACAAATGGCAGGTTTTGTTCTAGAGGCTTTGTCTAATGTGTCGAGACACAATCCGAGGTGGTGTGTGAAACAGTGGAAATGCAGTGAGATCTGCTTTGTTTCCCAAACTGTATTTGGTGAGATTGGAAAATAAACTAAACATATTTGAGCTGAGGCTTCGAAAAGAATAAATATTAAATTGTGGAAATGCCCTCTTTATTTGAATTTCTGGTTCAATCAGCCTTTAAACACATCTTAATTTGAATAGACTTATGTTAGGACCAGGCAAATTCAGCTAGTTTTAACAATGGAAACTACCTTTTTGGTTTTTGTTGACCCACTTCTGTACATTCATATAGGGATACACATGCTAACTAGCTAGATTAGTGGTTCTCAACTAGCCATGATTTTGCTTCCAGGGGATATTGGCAATGTCTGAAAAAAAATAATAATTATATATATATATATATATATATATATATATATATTTTTTTTTTTTTTTTTTTTTTTGAGACGGAGTCTCACTCCAGTCACCCAGGCTGGAGTACAGTGGCATGATCTCAGCTCACTGCAACCTCTGCTTCCCAAGTTCAAGCAATTCTCCTGCCTCAGCCTCCTGAGTAGCTGGGATTACAGGCGTGTGCCACCACGCCCAGCTAATTTTTGTATTTTTAGTTGAAACGGAGTTTCACCATGTTGGTCAGGCTAGTCTCAAACTCCTGACCCCGTGATCCACCTGCCTGGGCCTCTTACAGCTGTGAGCCACCATGCCCAGCCAGGTATATATATTTATGGGATACATAAGATGTTTTGACACAGGCATGCAATGCATAATAATCACATCATAGAAAATGGGGTATCTATCTTCTCACTTAGTTTTTGTGTTACAAACAATCCAATTATACTTTTATTTTCAAATGTACGATGAAATTATTGACTATAGTCGACCTGTTGTACTGTCAAATACCAGGCCTTATTAATTCATTGTAACTGTTTTTTTAACCATTAACTTTCCCCACCTCCCACCCTCCCCCACTACCTTTCCCAGCCTCAGGTAACCATCCTTCTACTATATATCTCTGTGGGTTCAATTGTTTTGGGTTTTAGATCCTGTGGCCCCTTTGACCATGCAGATCATGGCCTATTCATTTTCACACCTAGATAGGAGCCTGTGCAGTGCCTGGCCAAGAGCAAGCATAATTGTGTGCAGATAGAGGAATAAATAACAGAGCAGCAACTGTGTCTGTCTGGATTGTCTTTTCTATCTTAGTGGGAATCAATCAACACTGCTTTTCTTCAAAAACCCAGAGGAGGGGATGGGACTTTTAGTGGGGACAGAGGGTAGATGGGCAAGATGAACACATCAAACCCTTTATATGGGGTGGTGGAAAGAGTATAAGGAAGGAAAGTGAAGAAGAACCAAAGAGAAACCATGATTGTTAACATTTTTCACCTGGAAAAGGGACAGGATATTTTCTTTTTCCTCTGCCTCATCCTCCCTCATGCATTATGTGGCCTCTTGGTCTTAGGATTCAGAGCACAGGCTAATGTGATGGAAGTTGAAATTTGTGAGTTAAATAGGGTTCAGTGATCTAGCTGGAAAGTATCCCTGCCCTTGAAGAGACGTTTCTGTGGTCCCACACTACTCACTTAGGCATAATGCCCAGAGAGTGACTAAAGCTGCACAGTAAACTAATGGTAAAGTTCCATTTAATGGAAATTGGTGAAAGCTTTCAGGATCAAATGATAAACTCTGTCTCCTTCTTTCCCTCAGGAAAATGGCAGACGGTTTTTCGGTAAGTGTTTCATGCCTGTTTTCTTACCCTCAATCAACTCCACATGGTTGAGGGTTGGGGATTTTGTTTTTACCATGACTTTTCCTTTTCACTCTCCCACTGCGTGGCTTTCCCTGGACTCATTTGTCCAATGAGAGCTTGCGAGCTGGAGCCTTGTTTTTCCAGCAGTAGATTTGGGAAGAAAGCCAGGCAGAGCGAGGCCTGGGATACACTCACAGTAATCCTTTCACCAAAAGGCCCCAGGCAGAAGGGAATGGACTCTGACAGCAGGAGCTGAGAAATCCCGAGTAGAGGGAAACGCGATACAGTCTGGGCATCCTGATGTCTGTGATTGCTTTCCTCATGGTGATTAAAAAGTATGAGCTGTAAATAGGGGAGTGTTAGCTCCTGACTTGAGCTAATTATGAAAATGCAGCCCTCCCTGATCTGAGATGTTGGGAGGCAAGAATAAAGTGAAAAAGCATGCATAATCCCAGTATCTAGTTTTAGTCTTTGAAACTCAAAACTATTAATAAGTGGAAAAAGTTTATTGATATGCATGTAATGCCTTCACTATATTCCTCTCTTTCCTAGATCACATATTCCTGTTTTCCTGAAAATTTCGCTTTTGAGAATGCTTTCTGTCCTGTAATTGCGTATGTCTTTCTTTCCAGCTCAATGATGCGTTAACTGGTAACCCAAACCCTCAAGGATGGCCTGGGCAGTGGGGGAACCAGGGGGCAGGGGCCTACCCAGGGGCCTCCTATCCTGGGGCTCACCCTGGACAGGCACCCCCAGGCGCCTACCCTGGACAGGGACCCCCAGGCGCCTACCCTGGACAGGGACCCCCAGGCGCGTACCCTGGACAGGGACCCCCAGGCGCCTACCCTGGACAGGGGCCTCCAGGCGCCTACCCTGGAGCACCTGGAGCTTATCCTGGAGCACCTGCACCTGGAGCCTACCCAGGGCCACCCAGCGGGCCTGGGGCCTACCCGCCTCCTGGACAGCCAAGTGCTCCTGGAGCCTACCCTGCTGCTGGCCCCTATGGCGCCCCCGCTGGGCCACTGGTGAGATGGCATTCCTCCTTTCATGTACTTGACATGCAGAGGGCTTCAGGGAGACCCTGAGCTTTAAACCTGTGGCTTAGAGCCACTATTCAAGAGCCAGCCATGGGTGTGTGTTGCTAGAGTCGAAAAATTAAGTGTTCATATTGAGTTTATTGTGTGTGGTTAGTATGAACAGAAGGTAATGCATATTTTGAAGGCATTGATAAAGCTGCTTATGAATATAAATCAAGATTGTTGTAATGGAGAACATGTTGGTTATTAACAAATGCTTAGTACATGTCAATAGTATGCATCTATATGGATGATCTCATTTAACCCCGTCACCACCTTATAAGACACTGTTAATAACCCCATTTTACACATGGGGAAATGGGACAATAGAGAAGTGATATAATCTGTCCAGGATCTTTGAGTAAACATGTAGAGGCAACAGGGTAATCTGGTTTTGAAAAACCTTCTAAAGATAATTTTGTGATCTAAAGGTTGAATTTTCGTGCAGATTGAAATGTTTTAGCAAGTGAATTCTAAATGTAAAACATAATTCTGTGGGGGATCCAGATGCATCTCAGCCACAGGATCCTTCCTTTCCAGATTCATAATCTAGTTGGATGATAAAACATACAATAAATTTGAGGAAAGAGCTAAGTAACAGTGTGTGATTAGAGCATTTCAGAACTATGCAGATGACACAGGGAGCACTGTCACCTTTTAGGTCAGTTTACAGTAGAAAGACTTGGGGGAGTGGGTGGCATTGAGTTGGGCCTAGACTAGAGATGGTGTCAGTTGCAGAGACAGGGGGACATGAAGGCTGTGGAAAGGAACAGGTAGATGTAAGAGAGATTACAGAGGAAGAACCCCAGAATCTACTGATTATGTCTTAGGAGTCACAGATGACTCTGACTTTTCAAAGGAGACCAAGTAGAGCCATCAGCAAAGCTTTAGCCCAAACTGGGAGCTCATTAAGGGGAACTGATGGGGGAGGAGGCAGAGGAGACCATTCCAGTTCACACTTGTTGAATTTGAGGCACTAGTAACAAATCCAAGTAGGAGGAAGTACAGGGCTAGTACACAGCAGGCCTAGAAAGAAAAGATTTGGATAAGCTGGGTGTGGTGGCTTCTGCTTGTAATCCCAACACTTTGGGAGCTGAGGCAGAAGGATCGGTTAAATCCAAGAGGTCGAGGCTGCAGTGAGCTATGATGGCGCTACTGCACTCCATCACTTACAAGAGAGACCCGGATTTTTGAGACCCAGTTAAAAAAAAAAAAAAAAAGCGATAAACCCGGGGAGAACCCTTAAAAAGGGAAAGAAAAGAGACCATAATAAATAGAGCTTTGGGGATATTCACAGAATCTCAAATGTAGATGGTCAATAAACGTTTGTGGAATGAACCTCACAGTATTAACTAAACAGTGTACACTGTAGAAATATTGAGTATCTGCCATGTGCAAAGCACTCTGCTGGAGCCATGTGAGTACAGAGCATATGAGAACCCACAGACCCAGAATGTGGCATGATGTTTGCCCCCAGGAAGCAGAATAACCACAGTGAAGCATGTTACGTGACAGGGCCTTATGAGTGATACAAAATGTTAATGTTGATCACAAGATCTAGCTTAAGCCTTTCCAAAAAATAGTCAACATGAATGAGTGCAGATTGGGATGGCCGTAGTGAGACTTATTGATGGTTTTATTTTCAGTTATTATTTGTGCACATAGGGAGCCTTATCCTTTGGACCCTGGGCAAAGTGGCCTGAGAGTCTGGACAGATGGCAATATACTAGAGTTACGTTTTTCACACATATTAATAGTGATGGAACTTTAGCAAAATCATTTTCTTTCCCCAAAGAAACGTGCTCCTAATTGACACATATGTACTTGTTCATTCCCAGGTTGTGCCTTATAACCTGACTTTTCCTGGAGGAGTCATGCCTCGCATGCTGATAACAATTCAGGGCATGGTGAAGCCCAATGCAAACAGGTAAGGAGAGCAAAAGTAAGCCTACCCTATTTGTAGATTGGTTTTTGAATAAAGAATGGCCTATTTTGAATTGTTTTTTCTTGCCCTGTCCTATGGTGCTATTTTGAATTTTAGGAAGATTTTTAAAACTACATATTTAGAATCTTGGCTATATTGTCATATAGGATTATCCCATAAATCCATATGTATTCCCACATAATTTTGCTAAACATCAGGGCACTAATAGTACATGGTAATGCACCTTATTCTATAGTTTGATATGTATTATATCAGCTAATCTTCATGGTTGAAGGCAGGATAAAGAATATTGCTCTTTTTATAGCCAAAACTGAGACTCAGGTTCTACAGATGATCAGTGGCAGCCCTGGGAACCTGTCTTTTTAGTTGATACTATTTGCTTACAGGTTTGGAGATTCTACAAGTTAAAAATGTCATCAAAATAAATCAGCCTTTGCTATTGGAAGTGGTTTGATTAAGGCAGACTAGGATAGGGTGAGGCTTTATTTAGGAAAATACATGCTTAATTGTAGCTGTACTGGGCCACTTGGCCCTGGTTGTCACCACTGGTTATGTAGTACTTACATATCATACAAAAAAGCTGGCCCTGTCCTGAAGCCATCCAGGATGCCTGCCCCTGAGGTTAGTGGAACCGTATTTCTAGGTCTTATGGACAGTACCCATATGGTACAAATTCAAGCCACGTACACAGGTTTGTGTAAGAATCCATAAATAGTCTCAGTGTCTGTCACCTTGCTCCACATCCTGTCATCAAGAGATGGACTCTGCTTCTGATCTGATAATTTTACATTCAAATGCTCATCCACACCACCTCAGCCAGCCTCCTCTGTTTCTGCAATGGTAGTCACTACCCTAAGCCAACTTGTCTTTCCACACGGCCCAGACAATTTCTGTAAGCACAGAACTTCCCCGCACAATGAGTGTCTCATAGCAAATTACAAAATATATACATCCTCTGCCTATGTCCTTATCCGTATTCCCTCCTAACGTAACACAGAACCCAGCACACCTTATCCTGTGCACACAGCACTCATGATTTATTAATATTTGCTCTCCTCCTCCCACAACCCCTAACACGCACTGAATACCCAGTGTAGTATCCTTGTCTTATTAGAGTCATTTCACTGGAAAGTTTAGTTCTAATAATACTAGAGATGTAGATTGAGACTGGCAGATCAAAACTAATTCTGGCTGAAATGGCTAATGGTAGTAAACTAAAAAAACTGTTGCTTAGTCCTGCAAATTCTGTATGAGGAACTGCATAGAAAAAAAGTGTGCTTAAGGTGACAGAGATGACAATGTCTACCTTTCCAATGCAGAGGAAATAGAGTCGTATATTTAGTCAAATACAAATTCTACTGCTATTTTTTTCCTTACAAATGTAAGCACTGGAAGATCATTTGTGGTTGAATGTGACTGTTACTGGGTGAATCAAAATAAACAGAGAATCTTTGTTAGTTGGATCAGAGTGCAGACCTGGCTTTAAAATAAGTACACATAATAAGAACACATGCTGATGATTCTGATGCTACTGCTCTATAGAGCACACTTTGAGAAACTCAGGGATGGGGTTAGTCAGAGGACTGGTATTGGCATTAATATCCAGGAAGAAGGAACAGGGTCAAAAAGTTAAACTAGCAATTTCATTAGTTCCAGCTCACATCATAGAATGTTTAACATATTTTCTGTCAAGACTTTACAACTTAACAACAAGATACTGAATATTAACTACATTAGCTCATTCATGTTATTTCAGAGGAACTAGGACTTCTGGTTAATTATGAGGAAGCCAGTATTTGCTGGCTGTTAACTACATAGCTGGCTTGCCTTTATCAGGTATTGAAAGCAACCTGGAAGACCAGGAAACAGATAACCATTATCTATAGTAAGGCATAAAGTATCCTCAGAGTTGCTCTGTAAGAAAACTTCAAAGGGTTTTCATGAGTCTGTAAAGAGGGCATTACAGATGAATGGAAATATGATCAAAGACAATGAGGCAAAAAAATTCAACACATATTGCTTACCTTTAGATTTTATGGTAGTACATAGAATATTGGGCCTAGGATACTTTCCAGTTTGAACCCATTCTGATTTATTTGCTTTCCATTCAGAAAAATTTCCTAGGTACTGTATTATGAAGTTATTTGCTTTTTAGAAAATTATATGTTCTTCATTTGGTACAAATGTACAGCTTTAATCATTTTAATAACTGGTCTTTGGTTTAAAATAGATTTACTTTAGATTTCAAGAAAGGGAATGATATTGCCTTCCACTTTAACCCACGCTTTAATGAGAACAACAGGAGAGTCATCGTTTGCAATACAATGCTGGATAATAACTGGGGAAGGGAAGAAAGACAGTCAGTTTTCCCATTTGAAAGTGGGAAACCATTCAAAGTAAGTTATTGCTACTATTTCATATTGATAATGTGTATTTCTCATGAGGAATCACTCTAAAACCACAAAACACTTGAAATGAGTTTTTATCACCTGTCCTAAGATATGCCCAGCCAGTGCATCTTCTCCCTGCCCAGGGGACTAGGCTCAGCAGGCTGAGAACATGGCCAGGAGTGGCACACTCCCCAGTTCCTTGCAGACACCTCGTAATCATCACTGCTGCCACCCCTCTGAGTTTAAGTCTTTCTAAAAATGAAAAGAATATAATTTTTAACAAAAAAGGCAAAGTGTCTTTATGGTACAGGTGTACTGGACTTTGTTGCTTAAAACAACATAGTTGGCATAGAGATCAAAACTAAATGTTTTTAATTCTAAAATTAATGTCTTATAAAAAGTTTGTAAGTTTTTTTTTTTTTTTTTTTTGAGACAGTCTTGCTCTGTTGCCCAGGCTGGAGTGCAGTGGCATGATCTCAGCTCACTGCAACCTCTGCCTCCCACATTGAAGCAATTCTCCTGCCTTAGCTTCCTGGGATTACAGGAATGCATCACCATGCCCAGCTAATTTTTGTATTTTTAGTAGAGACGGGGTTTCACCATGCTGGCCAGGCTAGTCTCAAACTCCTGACCTCGTGATTTGCCTGCCTCGGCCTCCCCAAGTGCTGGGATTACAGGTGTTAGCCACCTCACCTGGCCAAAAGTTTTTAAGTTTTTAAATTAACAAAGTTTCCTATCTTTTACTCCTCCCGCATCCTCACAAAGGTTGCGATTTGATGAGTATCTTCCCAGTATTTTCTGACATACAGCACATTTTTTATTTATAAGCACTGCTTCAGCAAATATTTATTAAGTCCACAGCACTGAGTTAGGGCTGATTATAGAGTGGTCAATAAAACAGCTGGACTGTAAACTCAACAGCAGGGGCAAATAAGGACCACAGTCTACATTTGGTGGACATCTTTTCATATCGAGTATTGTTACTTAACGGCATTTTTTTTTGAGATGGAGTCTTGCTGTGTCACCAGGATGGAGTGCAGTGGTGTGATCTCAGCTCACTGCAACCTCCATCTCCTGGGTTCAAGCGATTCTCCTGCCTCAGTCTCCTGAGTAGCTGGGACCGCAGGTGCATGCCACCACCCTCAGCTAATTTTTTTTTTTTTTTTTGAGACGGAGTTTCACTCATGTTACCCAGGCTGGAGTGCAATGGTGCGATCTCGGCTCACTGCAACCTCCGCCTCCTGGGTTTAGGCAATTCTCCTGCCTCAACCTCCTGAGTAGCTGAGATTACAGGCACGGGCCACCATGCCCAGCTAATGTTTTGTATTTTTAGTAGAGACGGGGTTTCACCATGTTGACCAGGATGGTCTCGATCTCTTGATCCACCCACCTCGGCCTCCCAAAGTGCTGGGATTACAGGCTTGAGCCACCGCGCCCGGCCAATTTTTGTACTTTTAGTAGAGATGGGGTTTTACCATATTGGCCAGGATGGTCTTCGTCTTTTGATCTCGTAATCCGCCCACCTCAGCTTCCCAAAGTGCTGAGATTACAGGCGTGAGCCATGGCATCCAGCCAAAAGTATTTCAAATTTAGATATGTGATAAATTAACTAGTATCCTACTGATGAAAATTCAGAGAATAGAAACAAATCTGGAAAGATTTTACTAAAATTCTATAACCATCCTTATAAATCTTTGCTTCCTCGAAGCAAATCTTTTAGAAATCTTTAATTATTCATGTTTATAATTGAGATATTGCCAGATTGCTGCTTACAAAAAGATGTAAAGATGGACATCGACTAACTATTGGAAGAATAGATTTTTCCTACCCTTGCCAAAACTGATTCTCATCAATCTTCACATTTGCCAAAGGAATTCTACTTTTTTTTTTTTTTTTTGAGACCAAGTCTCACTCTGTTGCCCAGGCTGGAGTGCAGTGGCATGATCTCAGCTCACTGTAACCTCTGCCGCTCAGGTTCAAGCAGTTTACCTGCCTCAGCCTCCTGAGTCGCTGGGATTACAGGTGCCTGCCAACATGCCCAGCTAATTTTTATATTTTAGTAGAGGCGGAGTTTCACCATCTTGGCCAGGCTGGTCTTGAACTCCTCACCTCATGATCTCCTGCCTCAGCCTCCCCAAAGTGCTGGGATTACAGGCATGAGCCACCACGCCCAGCTAGGAATCCTACTTTCATATTTATTTTTTTAGATGTGTTAGGCCATACCAAAAATTTTGGTTGAGACAGGGTCTCACTGTCACTCAGACTAGAGTACAGTGGTACAATCACAGCTCATTGCAGCCTACCAACCTCCCACGCTTAAATGTTCCTCCCACTTGAGCCTCCTTAGTAGCCAAGACTACAGATGTGTGCCATGTCTGGCTAATTTTTATTTTTTTTTGTAGAGATGGGATTTCACTATGTTGCCTAGGCTGGTCTCAAAGTCCTGGGCTCAAGAGATCTGCCTGCCTTTGCCTCCCAAAGTGTTGTAATTACAGGCGTGAGCCACCACACCTGAGCTCTTTTAAGTTTTTGTGGAGGTAAATTCTTAGCCTTCACCTTACAACTTCACTTATGTAACCTAATAAATTTGTTGCTTTAAAAAAAAATCTGAATAACTTGGAATTTTTGCTGTAAAGTTACTTTCTCTGGATGTTAACTGGTCCCACAGATGATAAAGATGAAATGTTGGATATCCTGAGCTCAGGCCAGACTGGTTTGAAATTAATGGGCATTTTTTCCCCTTTATTTCAATTGACAATTTGTTTCTATCGTGCACATGAAATATGTATATATCGGGCTGGGCGTGGTGGCTCACGCCTGTAATCCAAGCACTTCGGAGGCCAAGGCGGGCGGATTACCTGAGGTCAGGAGTGCAAGACCAGCCTGACCAACATTGTGAAACCCCGTCTTTGAAAAAAAAAAAAAAAAAAATGTATATAATGTGGAATGGCTAAATCCAGCTAACTGACATATACATTACCTCATGTAACAGTTACGTATATGCCATTTCAGATACAAATACTGGTTGAATCTGACCACTTCAAGGTTGCAGTGAATGATGCTCACTTGTTGCAGTACAATCATCGGGTTAAAAACCTCAAGGAAATCAACAAACTGGGAATTGCTGGTGACATAGACCTCACCAATGCTTTATATACCATGATGTAATCTGAAAGGGGCAGATTAAAAAAAGATGGAATCTAAACCTTACCTGTGTAAAAGCTTAATGTTCACTGTGAGTCAAAAGTTTTACATTTATTCATCAGTATCCTTCTTGTAAGTCATCTACTTAATAAATATTATGCTGAGTTACTTGTCTTATTATGTCATTTAATTGGAGTTTATTCTAGATAATGCATAATGGAAAAAATATGTAGCAATATTAATACTGCATTAGGGCCTCAAGGTTTCCTATACTTGTTAAAATATTTGCCTTAAGGAGAAAATAAATACTACCTCAAACTTATCTCTTCCAGAATTTCATAAAAAGATGTTTCAAGGAAATTCTTCTCTAATTTTCTTAAGGAAATATAATAGGTTCAGGAAATGAGAATAGCAGAAAGAAAAAGCTTACTTATAGATGACCTATGACCCATAGACAATTATTGTTAGGAATCTGGTATACTTCTTGACTGCTTTTTAATCCTATTTTCTAAACTATAGTTCACTGCTTTCAAATCAGGAATTTGATACGACTATAGGACCATCTCCCTGGTTTTTATGAATTTTTTTTTTTTTTTTTTTTTGAGATAGAGTCTCGCTCCGTTGCCCAGGCTGGAGTGCAGTGGCACAATCTCAGCTCATTGCAACCTCAGCCTCCCGGGTTCAAGGGATTCTCCTGCCTCAGCCTCCTGAGTAGCTGGGATTACAAGTGTTTACCACAGTGCCCAGCTAATTTTTTGGATTTTAGTAGAGATGGGGCTTTACCATGTTGCCCAGGCTGGTCTTGAACTCCTGACTTCGTGATCCACCCGCCTTGGCCTCCCAAAGTGCTGGGATTACAGGCCACTGCGCTTGGCCTCAAATCTCTTATAGAGAAAAAAGGTATCTTACATAGTCAGCTTTCAAAATTTGTTCCCGTCATCAACATTCTTACCCATGACTTTCTACCCTTATAACCAGCAAGCCCAAAGATTAATACAATTCCAAAAGCAGGATGTGGCAAAACCACTTCATCTTATATAAGACCAAAATTGTTTGAAACGGAGTCTCACTCTGTCGCCCAGGCTGGCGTACAGTGGCACGGTTGCTGCAACCTCCACCTCCCCAGGTTTAAGCAATTCTCTGCTTCAGCCTCCTGAGTAGCTGGGATTACAGGCGCCTGCCACCATGACTGGCTAATTTTTGTATTTTTAGTAGAGATGGAGTTTCACCATCTTGGCCAGGTTGGTCTTGAACTCCTGACCTCGTGATCCATTGCCTCAGCCTCCCAAAGTGCTGGGATTACAAGCGTGAGCCACCATGCCTGGCCCAAAATATTATTTTATACAACAAGATCTTTTGAAATCCATTAAATTGATAATTGTCACAGGTTGGGTTTCCCAGGAAGCAGAGAGATTAGAACTCAAGAGGGAGTGTACCTGCAATCAATACTTGTGGGGATGGGAAAGAATGTGATTGGGTCAAGGGAGAAGTTGAGCAGCAATAACTTAGCCTACCCTAGGGGAGTTCTGAAGCTGGGATTATTCTTCAGAGCTGCAAGGGGGCCAGGCCTTTTTATATCCCCACTTTGGTCAGTCAGTGACTATAGGACACCTGGGAAAGAGAATGTAACCTGAGGTGAAGTGGCTGTCTTCAGCTGAGGCAGCACAGTCCTCAAAAGGGATGACAGCAGAGGGCTGCCTGCTAGCAGCACTTCCTGCAGCTCAAGGAGTAAGTAGTCCATCACTGAAGAGGGATGTGGGGAGCATATCATAGCATATTTCAAAAAACTCCTTACCCTAACATTCTGGTCTTAACTGTTCTCTTATTAAATGGAAAAGCACAGCTTTGGAAAAAAGTGAGAACTTGGATTACATAAAATTACTTAAATCCTCTGAGCCTTTGTTCCTTTGTCAATAAAGTGCAGACAGCTCTTATAGGGTTACTGTAACATTAAGTAAAATATTGTTTGCAAAGGGACTGTCAAATAGTAGGTCTTCAATAAATTTAAATTCCCATTCTTGGCTGGGCATGGTGGCTCATGCCTGTAATCCCAGCACTTTGGGAGGCTGAGGTGGGTGGATCATGAGGTCAGAAGTTCAAGACCAGCCTGGCCAACATGATGAAACCCCATCTGTACTAAAAATAAAAAATTTAGCGGGGCACGGTGGCAGGTGCCTGTAATCCCAGCTACTCCGGAGGCTGAGGCAGAATTGCTTGAACCCGGGCGACAGAGGTTGCAATGAGCTGAGATCGCACCACTGCACTCCAGCATGGGCGATAGAGTGAGACTCTATCTTAAAAAAAAAAAAAAAAGTAAGAAAAAGAAAGAAAGAAGAAAGAAAGAAGAAAGAAATTCCCATTCTACTTTGGTAGAAAAGAACTCGTTTTTTTTTTTTTTCTTTCTGACAATACAATGCATTAAGAACGCTTACTCTATTCAAAGCAGTTTTCATTTTGTCTCTGAACATTTTCCTAATACCTAATAATTCTAGACTCCAATAGCCAAGCACATTATCTAGTAGAGGACACTGATGGTTGCCTACCCCACATTCCATTCCCTGTTTCCTAAGAGCCACGGTTTTTTTATTCAGGTGTGAGCCCAGATTCAACAGGGAATTCTGATTCAAGTCAATCCCCTGCCGACTCACTGATCTGCAGATGGGGATGCGGCATTAGTTGGTCTAATCAGGCCAAAGGGAAGGACATATCTTCAACTGCCACTAGCAGCCATCTTATGACCCCCAAAACACTCAATTGTAAAGGAGAAGCCAACATCAAGGATAACAGAATGAACTAGGAATAGAAAGTTAGACCTTGATGTCCTCACTGAGCTATTGATTATAAAGTACCTATTGATTAGAAAAGAATCACCCTGATAACTTGTGAAATAATATATTTCCTTACTGTTAAGCCAGTTAGAGTCCATTACTTGTTTTGGTAATTCAAACAAGTCATGTAAGAAAAAGAAATATACATAAGCTAGGGCTTTCTTTCTTTTTTTTTTTTTTTTTTTTTTTTTTTACGGAGTTTTTTTTTCATTTCCCAGGCTTGAGTGCAATGGCGCAATCTCTGCTCACCCCAACCCCCCCCTCCTGGGTTCAAGCAATTCTCCTGCCTCGGCCTCCTGAGTAGCTGGGACTACATGCACGCACCACCATGCCCAGCTAATTTTTTGTATTTTTAGTAGAGACGGGGTTTCACCATGTTGACCAGGATGGTCTCGATCTCTTGACCTCGTGATCCACCCGCCTCGGCCTCCCAAAGTGCTGGGATTACAGGCTTGAGCCACCGCGCCCAGCCAGGGCTTTCTTTTTATTTATTTATTTAAAGACGGTGTTTCACCATGTTGGTCAGGCTGGTCTTGAACTCCCGACCTCAGGTGATCTGCCTGCCTTGGCCTCCAAAATGCTTGGATTACAGGCGTGAGCCACCACGCCCGGTCTAAACTAGGGTTTTCTAATGGCCCAGGGCCATGAACAGCTGAAGGCTTTCTAAACAATTCAGTGATACATCTTATTAAAGAGCATATTTACCGACATTGTCTTGTTCTGATGTTTTATTTTTGAAAGCAAAGATTTTACTGTTGTGTTGCATATTGCTTTGTATAAACTGTAAAGCTTGAGTTTCTCTGTAGCAATCTTTCATGTGACTGATATATGATTTTTTTTCAAAAGAAAAAAAGCATTTCCTTAATGGCTGTTGGCCATGCCAATGAAAAAGGAAAACAAAAGGATTCAATGGACACCTCTAATGACTGAACTGTTTGAAACCGCAGCATGTTAAACTGACTTCAGAATGCAGAAAGCTTATCTAAAGAAACTCAGAATACTGTGGAAAATGTAATACCCAAAGCTGTTCAACATCAACAAATTTAGGAGTTCAAACTAAGAATAAAGTGTAAAAGGATGCAAATATTTCTGTCACAGGTTAATATTCCAATTAAACTAAAGAATGTTTATAAGCTCTAAGTATACTTAGCCTTAAGCTTATTCCTTTTAAACAAGAAGCAAAGCACAGTACATTTTTTATTCTGTGTTGTTAATGTACAAAATATTCCTACTTCCCTTGAGAAAGAGTATATCTAAAATACACTTTGATGAACACAGAATATCAAAGCATCATATGATACTATAGAAGTGAACATAAATATATTTTCTCCAAAATTTCAACAGTCTAAAGAATATATAAGCATTGATAATATGAAGGAAAATGTTTGGATTTATTTTTAAATTCAAAATTCTTCTGGTTGTAGAGGTGAAAAAGTAATCAGGTTACCACCAAAAGAAATGTATCTGGCATGTTCCTGATGTCTCCTCTCCAGCTGAGCAAATGGGTTGCTGCAGTTTAGACCTGGCTGGAGAACAAATCCAGAGAAGTCAATAAAGTATCCACCAAGAGTTTCACAAATTCTTCAACATTGCTATAGTGAATTAATTAATAATATAAATAAACCGGGTGTGGTGGTGGCACACCTGTAGTCCCAGCTACTCAGGAGCTGAGGCGGTAGGATCACTGGAACCCAGGACTTCAAGACCAGCCTGAGCAACATAGCAAGATCCCATCTCAAAAACAAACAAAAAGAAACATGTAAAGATTTCCCCTATGTAACAATAAAATTATAAACAACATAATGATCATGTTACTTTATTTTAAACGTATATTATAGTTTTTTAAATTGGAAAGGTATATTCAGAATACATGTCTAAAAATATAAGTAATATGTATATGAACTCAGGTATGCAGGATGAATAAAATTGAGACCATATCTTAAGCCACTTACATAGATTCCATAAATCCTAAACCATTTAATAGGCCTTTTACCATTGTGTGATCCTGCTGCGATCCTTTTTTTACTCCCTCAAGCTCTGCTTCAAGTTCAAATGATCCTACTGGGACATAAGTTGGTCTTATGCTAAAAGCACCGATCCTCTCGGTCTCAGTTCATGATTAAAGAAGGCTAAGACCAAGAAAGAATGGTATGTGGGTCACAGTAACACATTTCATTCTGCTCCTGAGACACAGGGCAGCCCAGGGCCTGACCACAAAGAAGCCAACTTTGAAAACTAATGAAAGCCAAGATATATAAAGGTCTTTAAGGAATTAGTGGCTTAAGGAAGCTAAGTATTTGCCAGGCTTCAAGTAGTTAACAAAAATTGTAGCTGTCTGATCCTATACTTGCTTTATGAATGAGTTTGTTATATTCTAAGATTAAAGATAAATAAAACCAAGGCCATTTCCTGATCTATTCTAATAGTCCCAGAAAATTCCAAGGTGAGGCTATAAACCAAAGGTGTAAACAATAAAAGAATCACTTGATGAGCCAGGCACGGTGGCTCACGCCTGTAATCCCAGCACTTTGGGAGGCCGAGGAGGGAGGATCACCTGAGGTCAGGAGTTCGAGACCAGCCTGACCAACATGGAAAAACGACATCTCTAAAAATAAAAGAAAAAAATAAATTAAAAAAAAATCACTTGATGAAGAAAAATGAAGAATCCCTACTCCAGATTATTGAAATAAAAATGTCGGCTGGGCGTGGTGGCTCATGCCTGTAATCTCAGCACTTTGATTATCCCAAGCTTTGTAATCCCAGGCTGAGGTGGATGGATCACCTGAGGTCAGGAGTTTGAGACCAGCCTGGCTAACATGGTGAAACCCCATCTCTACTAAAAAATATAAAAATTAGCCAGGCCTGGTGGCAGGTGCCTATAATCCCAGCTACTCAGGAGGCTGGGGCAGGAGAATCACTTGAACCTGGGAGGTGGAGGTTGCAGTAAGCCAAGACCACAACATTACACTCCAGCCTGGGTGATAAGAGTGAAACTCCTTCTCCCCGCCACCAAAAAAAAAAAAAAAAAAAAAAAAAAAAATCTGTGGTAGGGCTGAAACCAATGGTATAAACAGTAGGAAAGACAGCACTATTTAATTCATGCCACAGTGCCAATATCAAAGCTATGAATCAGACAGTTCTTCCTAATGTGGAATTTGCAGTTACTAAGGAATTAGATTTCAGAAATCATATTTTTTGGAATATAATACATTCATATTATACCCTTAGTAAGAGATGAAATGTACACATTGTATGCCTATGTGCACCTGTACCTACATATAAGTTAACATGGGAGAGATAAAAGCTTTTTACAGAAGGCTTCACAAAAGGGCTGTTTAAACTAGAATTAGAGGCAAGAGGTTACCATAAGTAAAAGCAGGGGAGTATCCACTTAAAATAGCAGAATATAAATAACCAATGATGACTGAAGGTGGGATAGACATTATTTCCCCAGAAGGGAAGAAACTTTGCCTTATATTTTTCTTGAATCACTTAGAAATATATTCAGATATTCAAGTATCCCAATTGTCAGAGCAAGTTTGATAGAAAAAACATATAGAGAAACATATCTTCAGGGTTTAATACTGAAACATACTATAAAGTATATAAACATAAAATTTTTTCTCCATTTTGTGAAAATGAATAGTAAGCAAAACAATGGCAAGATATGTTTTAAGCCTTGTACACAAACAGAAAAGCAATATTCATTTTATTAGACAAATTTAAAATATAAAGAGACTTGTCAAATTAAGTTGGAAGACTTACTGAATCAAGAAGGTGGCATTCAGTAATGTGACTTTTATTATCAAGTAGTACTGAAAAAGAAACAAAAAAATTAACTTTTTAAAAAATATTCTCAAATTCAAGAGTTGTTAGAAATGGACACAGCCTTGAAAAATATGAAAAGCTCCACATATCAAATGCTAAGACAAAAATATAGACCATTTTATGCTATAACATTTTTTAAAATATAGTTAAATTTATTGGTTAAATTCTTATCCTTAACTTTAGTATAAAAGGAGTCTTTGGCCAGGCGAGGTGGCTCACACTTGTAATCCTAGCACTTTGGGAGGCTGAAGGTGGCGGGGGGTGGTTACCTGAGGTCAGGAGTTTGAGACCAGCCTGGACATCATGGGGAAACTCTGACTCTACTAAAAATACAAAAATTAGTCGGGCATTGTGGGGGGGGCACCTGTAATCCCAGCTACTCGGGAGGCTGAGGCACAAGAATCACTTGAACCCAAGAGGCAGAGATTGCAGTAAGCTGAGATGATGCCACTGCATGCCAGCATGGGTGACAGAGTGAGACTCTGTCTCAAAAAAGGAGTCTTCTGTAAACAAATCTCAGCTTGTAATATTAAAGGTACCCAGGAGATGCTGATGAAGAACAGGTGGAGGACATTAAATGTCTGGCCAAGGTAAAAACCTTTTGTTTTACCTTAGGCCCTATCTAGACCAGCTATAGAGAAATTGATGAAAATAGGAGGTGAAACTGCCACATATTATAACAAAAATATAGGAGTCATTTCCTATTACAGAACCATCACAACAATATAGGAAGAACTAGGAAGTAGGGAAGAAAAACAGGATATTTTGAAGAAAGATTTGGGGATATGTGCTGAAAAGAAGGAGAAATAAAAAAATGCTTGAGGGAATTTTTCTAATTCAGGGTCTTCACTAACAACGAAGAACCCAAACAGTTAGGTCTAATGTAAAACGGACCTTATAGGATAATTTATACCTTAATCCAAGTTTATTTCTTTAACAAAGCCTCTTTTAAATATATTTTAAAGAACTCACCTGACTGAGAAATTTTCGTTTCCTCTTGCTCTAAGGTGTTATTTTGTGAAGCTATATTTTTTTCAGGGCTACTCATCAAAACATCCTGTGATGTAACTGAAGAATTCAATTCCATTCCTTTCACAACATCTGAAATTCCTTCTTTTTTGTTAGTATTAATATCATCTGCTACTCTACCAGCAAGAAGAGGCAAACTCATTTTCTCACCGGGTAAACAATCCATCTTCAAGTTTGTCTTATTTACATCCTGGAAGTAAAAATGGCATTATATTTAATTATCAATTTAATTACTTGGAACAAATTTTAAAAGTCTTGTTGCCATTAGGCATAAGAAAGACAGAAGGATGACGTCCCAGACACAAGCTTAAGAACATTGTAAACCCTACTGTCCTGCTTCTTGAATGACTGGTTCAGATAATATTAAAGAAATAGTATGAATGAAGTCAAGTTTCTCAGCAAGTATCATACTCTAGTTCAGAAACTGGCGAACATTTTCTGTAAAGGACCAAACAGTAAATAGGTTTGTGAGCCACAGGGTCTCTGTCATAAGTACTCAACTTTACCACTGTACTGCAAAAACAGCCAGAGAGAATCCATAAACAAATGTGTGGCTGTTACAATAAAATATGACTTGTAAAAATAGGGGCCAAAGTATACTGATTTCTGCTCTAGTTCACTGGTTTCATATTCATCCTGATATGAGTTGAAGAATGCAAAAATGACACTATGGTTTTAAACAACCCAAATGTCATTGAAACAAGAACCAACATTCTGTATGACTGATTTAGATTTCCAATGGAAATTCTGGGGGTTGTTTATGAAATTACTTTATATAATGTATGAACACATGACATACTAGGCTATCTAACCACATTGGAATTGTACTTACATGGTTTTCTTCAATTAAATCTGGTAATCCAGGACACTGAGCATCTTCTACTATGCTGTTCCTAAAGAAGAAAAAAAGTAGCATTACACTCATAATTAAACATATTGTTATCATTTCACTTGTGTTTTAAGTCTATCCTTTATGGCAGCAATTAGTTTAGGGAATGGATCAAACATGGAGCCTGGTGTAAGATCAGGCCTAATCCAAATAGATCGGTTGTGGACTACAGCTACTGCAGAATATCCTTACAAACTAAATGCATTCTTCACCAGAAAGCTCCAAGTCTGTTACTTGGTGGGTAATAGTCAGGCTCAGGTGGGTCCACCAAGCAATATTCTGAATCTCAGCCAACCCAGAGCTATATATGAGAGAAAAGTCAAAAGGAGGGTGACTTCTGGAGACAGAAGCAAAAACTCAACTATTTTCTAGCTGAAGTTAGCTATATTTACTTGTTACTTGTTAATCCCTGAGCTGGAGCACAGGTACCTGCTGAAAAATTTGCCTTCAATCATACTATTTCTATAATATTATCTGAACTAATTGTTCAAAAAGGACAGGAGGAGTTACGATGTTCTTAAGCCTGTTGCTTGTTAACAAGTAAATGTAGCTAACTCCAGCTAGACAATCATTGAGTTAGAATACAAGGTAATCTAATCCTGAGGTTCTTAATTTGTATCTTATTACAAATATCTGTCTTGGCCAGGAGCAGTGGCTCACACCTGTAATCCTAGCATTTGCGAGGCCAAGGCGGGCAGATCAAGAAGTAAGGGAGATTGAAACCATCCTGGCTAACATGGTGAAACCCTGTCTCTACTAAAAAAACAAAAAATTAGCTGGGTGTGGTGGCACGCGCCTGTAGTCCTAGCAACTTGGAGGCTGAGGCAGGAGAATTGCTTGATCCCAGGAAGTAGAGGTTGCAGTGAGCCAAGATCAGATCATGCCACTGCACTATAGCCTGGGGGACAGTGAAATTCCATTTCAAAAAAAAAAGAACATTAAAAAAAAAAAAAAAAAAAGAAATATGTCTCCACTTTTTCCGAGTTGCTTTTTAAAAAAAGTATGCTGGGGCCGGGTGCGGTGGCTCACGCCTGTAATCCCAGCACTTTGAGAGGCTGAGGCGGGCAGATCACAAAGTCAGGAGTTTGAGACCAGCCTAGCCAACATGGTGAAACCCTGTCTATACTAAAGATACAAAAAATTAGCCGGGCGTGGTGGCCCGCGCCTGTAATCCCAGCTACTTGGGAGGCTGAGGCAGGAGAATCACTTGAACCCAGGAGGCGGAGGTCGCAATGGGCCGAGATCCCACCATTGCACTCCAGCCTGGCTGACAGGGTGAGACTTCATCTTAAAAAAAAAAAAAATTTAAATGAAAAAAGTACTTATGACTCAAATGCAATTATGAATCTTCTCAGCAAACAATAGTAGACTATAAGATACACAAAGTAAAGTAACTAGTATGTTAGAAATGACAATAAATTAGTATTTTATAATCCATGAATTTCTAGAACACCTAAAATATTTTAGTCTCCATAAAGGTTAAATATACTAAAAATCAGAAATCTTATTTTACTTCATTTTTGAGATGAAGTCTCACTCTGTTATTCAGGATGGAATGCAGTTGCATAATCTCAGCTCTGCAACCTCTGCCTCCAGGGTTCAAGCGATTCTCCTGCCTCAGCCTCCCGAGTAGCTGGGATTACAGGCACCACTGAACACGACTAGCTAATTTTTGTATTTTTTAGTAGAGATGAGGTGTTCCACCATGTTGGCTAGGCTGGTCTCAAACTCCTGACTTTGTCTTAAACTCTTGACCTCAAGTGATCTGCCCACCTCAGCCTCCCAAAGTGCTGGGATTACAGCTGTGAGCATTGCACCTAGCCAAAAATAAGAAATTTTAAAACTCATTGCATGAAATATTTGAGTGTTTAAGAACAAAAACTTTCATTTGCCTTGCCTTTCTTCCTTTTCTCCCTCCCTCCCTTCCTCCTTATTTATATAACTTCATTTGCTGCAATGCCTGAATAGTCTATGCTGTCTCATCTTTAGATCAGCAATAAGCCCAACAGTCTTCTCTTGGCACAATACTGTCATTTTATTTTCTACTTGAAGTATCTTTTTCCCATCAGACTTGGTATGCATTTATGTTCCACTAACAAGGACTGTTAGAGTAACTTTGCTGCATTTGTGCAGAGGCAGTACTGTATAGTAAAAGAATGCAGGCAGCATATGGTTGCCCTGAGTACAAGCTGAATTTAGGTAAGTTACTAACTTTTCAGGTGTTCTCACTTGAAAAATGAGTATCTAGTACCTTATAGGGTTGTTAAGAGAATAAATGAAATGACACTGATAAGAACACAGAATCGGCTGGGCGTGGTGGCTCACGCCTATAATCCCAGCACTTTGGGAGGCTGATGTGGGTGAATCACCTGAGGTCAGGAGTGTGACACCAGCCTAGCCAACATGGTGAAATCCTGTTATCTACTAAAAATAGAAAAATTAGTCAGGAATGGTGGCACACGCCTGTAGTCTCAGCTACTCAGGATGCTGAGGCAGAAGAATCGCTTGAACCTGGGAGGCGGAGACTGCAGTGAGCTGAGATTGTGCCACTGCACTCCAGCCTGGGCAACAGAGTGAGACTCCACCTCCAAAAAACAAAAACAAAAAAAACCCCTAAAAACAAACAAAAAAACCTAGCCCATAATAGTTGTTCAGTACACATTAACTCCCCCTTCAATACGCTCTGCCATCTGTCAAGACAACAATCTCAAGGTATTTTCTACAAAGGCTGGTAAAAAGTGTCTATCTCTTAATCACCTTGGGGAGGCATTAGCACTGCTGCTTTGCAGATGATCAAAGTGAAGCTAAAGAGAGTTAATTACTTGCCCTAAAGTTGCATAGCTAGTAAGGCAGGCACAGAGCTCTTCTCAGCTCAGAACTATTGAGCACCAAAGCTGCAATATGTTTAGCACCGAAGGATACCACGTTACTTCTTAGTGGTACAGAATTTACTTTGCCCATCTAAACATGACCATTTAGTATCCTGAAATCTTAAGCTTTAGTTTCTCCTCTTTTATAAAAAGGGAATATTGACTGTATGTTGCAGGGTCATTATGAAATTTAATTAAAAATGTATGTCTGGTACCTTTTACCAGCTTAACAATCTGAAACAATATTTAGTATCAGTGACTTAAAATCTTAATAACATGTTTTTAAAAATACCTGCTTTCAGGAATATTCAAAAATAAAGTTTTCTTCACATGTACACTTTTCGTATTCTGAGAATCGGCATTCTCTGGTGATGCAGTTTTTCGTGGAAGGCCCACCTCATTTCTACTCTGAGATACAGCTTTGCTGACAGACTTAGGTGCTCTAAGTCTTTGAGAAGGACGTTCAGAAGAGAAAGAGAGTCCTAGAAGATGAGAGAAATCACCTCAATACCAAAAAGTTCTTTTGTTTTTCATTATAACTAGGAATACAGTGCAAATCCTATCAATTAACCTCTTTCTCCCGTCAAACAATGTCTATTAAAGACAAATGCCTGGGACTTTCTGATACAGTATTTAACATCCATATTAGATGCTATTTCCTTTTGACATCTCACTACTTTAACATCAACAGAGATAATCTATTTTCTTTTTTTCTTTTGAGACACAGTCTCACTCTGACACCAAGGCTGGAGTGCAGTGGTGTGAACTCAGCTCACTGCAACTTCTGCCTCCCAGCTTTGAGCAATTCTCCTGTCTCAGCCACCCCAGAAGCTGGGACTACTGGTATGTGCCACCATGCCTGGCTAATTTTTCTATTTTTAGTAGAGATGGAGTTTCACCATGTTAGTCAGGCTGGTCTTGAACTCCTGAGGTCAGGAGTCCTGCCTCGGACTCCCAAAGTGCTGGGATTACAGGCGTGAGCCACTGTGCCTGGCCTGAACAAAGATAATCTTTATTTATTTATTTTTTTAGACAGAGTTTCACTCCCAAGCAGCTAGGATTACAGGTCTCACAACCACGCCTGGCTAATTTTTTGTATTTTTAGTAGACACAGGGTTTCACCATTTTGGCCAGGCTGGTCTTGAACTCCTGACCTCAGCCTCTCAAAGTGCTGGGATTACAGGCGTGAGCCACAAGCCCAGTCAGAGATCATCTTAAAAAGCAGAACTCTACAAGGACAAAAGAAACTAAAGAGACAGCAACAATCACAAGAACATTTTGGAAGCTCTAATGTAGATTGTTGAATGGGACTTGACTTAGCAGGCTAAAGAAAATAAATTCTAAGCCACCAATCAAGAAAAATGAGAATCAACCCAGTCTCTACCAAATAACCCCTCAACAGAATTGGTGGCTCCAAGTACCTCTGCAGGTGGAGATGAAAATGGAGCTAAACGACAGGACTGGCTCAAAGTTAGTTTAAACAAGTAGAGCTCAGATTCCTTTCCTCATTCTGCAGAGCAGAGCAGCTGTCACCAGCCGCTCCCCATCACCAAAAACAGAAGGGTCTCTGGTTTAGAGGATATGAGACACAGTTGAAAGACGGGGTACTGCATGGAAGATAAGGGAAATACTTGAGTATTTACATATAAAGTGTTGAGACACTTAGCTTTCTTCCCCCACATAGCTCTTGAAAGGCTGGCAGCCAGAATTATACCTTCCAGGAAGCAGATGGAAAGCACATTCTCTGGGGAATCTGAGTAGACGATGAGAAAAGTCTTAAATGTAGTAATGAGTAGGCTCCCAGCATGACAGCCCAGCTAACAGTAGGGCCCCCACAGTAAAGGTCCTACCGAGGTGTGCAGAGTTTTCCAGTCAGCTTTTTAGTACTCTATTTTTTTTTTTTTTTTTTTTTGATACGGAGTCTTGCTCTGTCGCCAGGTTGGAACACAGTGGCACAGTCTCGGCCCACTGCAACCTCCACCTCCCGGGTTCAAGCGATTCTTCCGCCTCAGCCTCCCGAGTGGCTGGGACTACAGGTGCATGCCAAACACCTGGCTAATTTTTGTATTTTTTTTTTTTTTTAGTAGAGACGGGGTTTCACCATGTTGGCCAGGATGGTCTCGATCTCTTGACCTCATGATCCACCTGCCTCGGTCTCCCAAAGTGCTGGGATTACAGGCGTGAGCCATCGCGCCCGGCCAATACCCTATTCTTAACCATGTACAGGCAGTGAGAGATCACCAGATTCCCGAGGACAGCTTCTCATACAAGAGACACAAACCAAAAACAAACAGATGAAAGTACCCTGAAACAAATACTATAGTGGATGAAAAAAACATAAAAGCTATCATTAGTATCCTTAATGATAGTGTATTATCTTTAATGATATTAATGATATCCATAAATCCATATCATTAATATCATTAAAGACAATACACTTATGAAACAAGTGCAGAATGCTATAAAATGAACATCTGGGCCGGGCACAGTGGCTCACACCTGTAATCCCAGCACTTTGGGAGGCCGAGGCGGGTGGATCACGAGGTCAAGAGATCGAGACTATCCTGGTCAACATGGTGAAACCCCGTCTCTATTAAAAATACAAAAAATTAGCTGGGCATGGTGGCGCATGCCTGTAATCCCAGCTACTCAGAAGGCTGAGGCAGGAGAATTGCCCGAACCCAGGAGGCGGAGGTTGCGGTGAGCCGAGATCGCGCCATTGCACTTCAGCCTGGGCAACAAGAGCGAAACTCCGTCTCAAAAAAAAAAAAAAATGAACATCTGTAGATTAAGAAAGGGCTCTTGGGAATTAAAAACATGATAGCCAGCATGAAAGTTGAGGAAATCTCCAGCAAGTAGAAGAAAACAGTTAGTACAGGAAAGAAAAATTTAAATTTAAATTTAAAAATTTAGTACCAGAAGAAAAATATGTTTTCGAAAAGATCAAATCTTGTCAAGAGAGATGGTAGTAAACAACAAAAGACTCCAGTAAGAATTGAAAAGCAGTTGCTTCTGGAGACTGGCAAATGGAATCAGAAGGGCTTCTTCAGAAACTACTGTTTTGCAATAAGCCTCATATAAACTATGTGCTCTGTAACTAAAACTCAATTTTAAAAGATCAATTTTTGCCACAAACCTTAATCTCCCTATCTATAAGGACTGAGCTGAGTATGTGAAAGAACAGAGAATGATGAGCTCATAGCTATAAAAACCACTAATATCCTTGACAAGGAGTAGCATGGGGCCATGTTATTAGCTGTAGTGGAGATGCCTGGGTATCCAGGGAGTACAGCTGCTTAAAGGAAACAAAAGTGCACAGATTTGATACCTAAACTGACAAGGAAGTTACAACATTCATGAGGATCACTGTCAATATCAGATAGCAGGTATTAGAGAACAATTTAGGTTTACTTTAACTTCCTAGTGGACATCTATGGCTTATAAATAATATAAATTGAGATAAATTAAAAACAATCTGTGAAAAATAGCTATTGACAAATACAGTTAGAAAATAATTTTAAAAAATGATTTCCTGAAGTATTAAAAACTGCTTTTGGCCGGGTGTGGTGGCTCACGCCTATAATCCCAGCACTTTGGGAGTCCAAGGCAGGTGGATCACCTAAGGTCGGGAGTTTGAGACCAGCCTGGCCAACATGGAGAAACTCTGTCTCTACTAAAAATACAAAATTAGCGGGCAGGGTGGAGCATGACTCCAATCCCAGCTACTCAGGAGGCTGAGGCAGGAGAATCACTTGAACCCAGGAGGTGGAGGTTGCAGGTGAGCTGAGATCGTGCCATTGCATCACTTCAGCCTGGGCAACAAGAGCGAAACTCCGTCTTGAAAAAGAAACAAATGGCTTTTATTAGAATATTTTTAAATTGGAAAATTAGTACATTTACTGCCTTTCAAAAAGATCTGAGCAAAACTTTAAATATAAATGCAAATAAAATCAAACCCACCTTGCATAAACTTCCTTTTATTTTTTAGAGATAGAGTCTTGCTCTGTCACACAGCCTAGAGTGATGGGGCATAATCATAGCTTGCTGTAACCTTCATTGCTGGGCTCAACTGATCCTACTGCCCCAGCCTCCTAAGTAGCTGGGACTACAGGCATGTACCGCCAGGCTCAGGTAATTTTTATTTTTTTTGTGGAGGGGGGATCTCACTAAGTTGCCCAGGCTGGTCTCAAACTCTTAGCTTCAAGTGATCCTCCTACCTTGGCCTCTCAAAGTACTGGGATTACAGGCATGACCCAACACACACTGCACGTAAGCTTCATTTTAAAGCACAGACAGAGAAATGTGATAGCTAGATGCTCAAGTTTCCTTTGCATTTTAAATTCTAACCAAGCTTCTAACTGACCTAAAGAAAATCACCTTACTTCTTCACGCTTCCATCATTCATCTAACCTCTTGGGAGCCTGTGACCTTTCTCATAGACTGTAGGGTTATGTGGTAATTACAGATGTGAAATCACTTAGAAAACACAAAAGCAATCTTAGAAGACATATCACACTTCAACTAATCTGATCATACCCATCAAAATGTAATTTACATGTGTTTGTGAGTGAGCATAGTCTATTTTCTAAAAAATCAAAGAAAAACTTATATCTCTTCATGTAAAAAGTATTTTTCACCTTATACAAGCCCCCAACCATCCCAAATATTTCTCTTAAGTAGTCTCAGCAAAAACAAAACAAAGCAAAACAAAAACAAACACTAACCTGGGAATGATTTAACAGGACTTTCAACTCTGAAAAATCCAGCATCAAACACTATTTTATCAATTTCCTTTGGTATTACAGAGGCTACTGCCTCTGCATGTTCTTCCTGCTTAATTCTCTCTCTCATTGCTTTTTTAATGGCAGCTAGGCGATTTCTCGCTGCAATTCTTCTAGTATCATCCTGTTTTGGTTTACTCTCTATACCTGAGACAACTTTTCTCTGCAAAGAAAAACCAACATATAGTAAAGCTGCCCACTATCATCTTATAAGAAAAACACACAACAGATATACACAAATTCATCACTTAAAAATTTAATTTTTAAAAAGAATAATAAAATATACATAAAATATTTCACATTCATCATATATTTATCAAGTTCCCAGTATGTGCTAAAAACAGTTAAAAAGGTAAAAGACAGAGTTCCTGCCCTCAAGGAGTTTGCAGCTTAGTGAAAGAGCTAGGGAAGGACAGTAAGAAGGATCTATGTCCTGTTAAGAGAAAAATTTAGGGGGCATCCTTCAGATTATAATCATGATACCCTAAAAAAGAGGAAAAAAAAGTCAATAAAAAAAGAAAAAAATTAAAACATTAAAAGAAAACAAATAAGGATGACACCTAAACCAATCTTCAGACACCAGAAAAGGTTGCAGGAAGTAGCACCTATGCTGAAATCACATTTCTTCAAACTAAAAGATGGGATGAGGTAAGGGGTAAATAGATGTTTCCAAAGCCAGAAATGAAAGAAAGCAACGTGGAGTTGGTGAGAGATAAATAATAGCTAGATTATAACATCACCTGCATGCAACAGTTTTTAAGAAAGTCACAATTTATACAGAAGATGAGGGAATACAGAGTTATTCATGATTTTTAAGCAGAAGATTAACATTATCAAGCTGATGTTTTAGAAAGATCCCTCAGACTAAGGAGTAAGACATGGAAAAAGGTGGACAGATTCAAGAGATATTTAAAAGGTAGAAGTGGGAGAACTTACTGATCTACTGGATGTGTGTGGGGTGGAAGTGGTGAAATAGAGAAAGGAAAGAACCAAAAGAGATACCGGGACTTCTATCTTGAACACCTGGTGGGATGGTAATAGCATTATTTGAGACAGGGCAACACTGGTGTGTGTGGAGTTGCTGTCAGTTTGGGATATATTGTTTTTTAAAATATATTGAGTCATGACATATAAAATTAGAGCTTAGTAAATATGGTCTGAAATACAGACTTGGGGATCATCATAGGTTGGGTAAGATTGCACAGGAAAATTATGGAAGCAAAGAAGAGAGTAGAGGTAGAAATTCTAAACATCAAAAACATTTAAGGGACAAATGGAAAACAAATATGCAAACATGACTGAAGAATAGGCAAAGAAGTAGAAAGGAAATCAGCAGAATATAATTTCAAAAATAAGAAAGTAAGCCAGGCATGGTGGCTCATGCCTCTAATGCCAGCACTTTGGGAGGCTGAGGCAGGCAGATGACTTGAGGCCAGGAGTTCCAGACCATCCTGGTCAACATGGCGCAACACCAGCTCCACTAAAAATACAAAATATTAGCTGGGTGTGGTGGCAGACACCTGTAGTACCAGCTACTTGGGAGGCTGAGGTGGGAGAATTGCTTGAACCTAGGAAGCGGAGGTTGGAGTGAGCCAAGATTGTGCCACTCCGCTTTAGCCTGGGCAACAGAGCTAGACCCTGTTTCAAAAAATAAATAAAATACCAAAATAAAAATACAAAAAAAAAAAAAAAAAAAAGTTGGGTGTGGTGGCACGTGCCTGTAATCCCAGCTACTTGGGAGGCTGAGACACAAGAACAGTTTGAACTCGGGAGGCAGAGGTTTCAGTGAGCCAAGATGATGCCACTGTATTCCAGCCTGGGTGACACAGCAAAATTCTATCTCCAAAAAAAAAAAAAAAAAAAAAGAGGTCGGTGCAGTGGCTCATGCCTGTAATCCCTGCACTTTGGGAGTCGGAGGCGGATGGATCGTCTGAGGTCAGGAGTTTGAGACCAGTCTGACTAACATGGTGAAACCCCATCTCTACTAAAAATACAAAAAATTAGCCAGGTGTGGCAGTGTGTGCCTGTAATCCCAGTTATTTGGGAGGCAGGAGAATCGCTTGAACCTGGGAAGCGGAGGTTGCAGTGAGCCAAGGTTGTGCAACACGGCAGAATTTTTAAATTCATTATTTATTTATTTTTTGTAATGAGGTCTCACTCTGTCACCCATGCTGGAGTACAGTGGCATGATCTCGGCTCACTGCAACCTCTGCCTCCTAGGTTCAAGGGATTCTCCTACCTAGCCTCCTGGGCAGCTGAGATTGCAGGCACCTACCACATGCCTCCCTGGCTAATTTTTTATTTTTAGTAGATACAGGGTTTCACTATATTGGCTAGGCTGGTGTCAAACTCCTGACCCTGTGATCCACCCATCTTGGCCTCCCAAAGTGCTGGGATTACAGGTGTGAGCCACCACGCCTGATCTAGAAAGGTTAGATTTTAAAATTAAGTGCGTAATAACTTAACCAACTAGTGGACTAATAATCTAGATAACTATTCTAAAATTATAGAGAGGGGAATACTGAATTGCAACGATTTAGAAAAATAAAGGAACAAAAATAATAGAGTACAGACAACATTTTAGGATGCTTGTCAGTGACTGGGAAGAAAGAAAGAAAAATGGGGGTGTACATATAATTAAAGGGAGAAGCAGACGCTACAGCTTTGTTTTAATGTAAAGAACAATAAGACATGTCCGGGCGTGGTGGCTCACGCCTGTAATCCAAGCACTTTGGAGGCCAAGGCAGGCAGTTCACTTGAGGTCGGGAGTTCAAGACCAGCCTGAGCAACGTCAAACCCCGTCTTTAAAAAAAAAAAGAACAATAAGACACTTAACGTGTTTACAGACTGACAGAAGAAGAAAGGGGGGAAGAAACATAACAGACTGATGGAATGAGGGATTAATAAATAAGAGCTAGTAGGGAGTGGTATTCAAGTATAGTATAAAAAATTAGCTTTATTTGTTGATAATCTTAACAGTAACCTATAAAATAAACAAGAAGGAGAGAGACACCTGCTGATAACAGGCAGAATTACAAATCTCTATAAGACACAGCCATGATCTGCATCACTGATGATATTAATATTTCCAGTACTAAATCCTTAATATGAAATATCCACAGTAGCTTTAATAATGAAGTAGAATCCTTCACTATTTAGTAGTTTTGAAATCCATTCAATTAATTTAATTTGTGAGACTTTATTAATAAAAAGATTTATTTTGAGATGGAGTTTCGCTCTTATTGCCCAGGCTGGAGTGCAATGGCACGATCTTGGCTCACTGCAACCTCTGCCTCCTGGGCTCAAGTGATTCTCCTGCCTCAGCCTCCCGAACATCTGGGATTACAGGGATGTGCCACCACTAATTAGTGCCCAGCTAATTTTGTATTTTTAGTAGAGACAGGGTTTCTCCATGTTGGTCAGGCTGGTCTTGAACTCCCGACCTCAGGTGATCCACCCGCCTTGGCCTCTCAAAGTACGGGGATTACAGGCATGAGTCACTGTGCCTAGCTTAGTAAAATATTTTTGAATAAGGTTTTAAAAAAAATTAATTTAACAAGTTAAACTCCTAAGATAGAATTCAAGACAGTTTTTATTTGGATTACACAGTATAATAAAATACTTATCTAGACAACCTGAATTTATAACTATATGCATTTTTCTCAAATCATAAAACTGACAATGTTCAGTTTGAAAAGTGTGCACCCAAGCCAAAAACTTTGAATTCAAAAACATTACTAGAAAAATAATTACTAGAAACAGATAAGAACAAAATTTATCATGTTAACAAAGCAACGAGGATAACAGCATCCATTTCATATGACAGTTTTAAGGATTCACTAATATATGTAAAGTACTTGGAATAATATTTCGCACATACTAAGCATTATATAAATGATCTACTACTATTATGATATCAAAATGTGTAAGAACAGCTTAAAGAACGAAATCAACGCTAATGTATCCACTATCTGATAACTCAGAAGCCCTCGTTGCCCCAATTCAATCACAGCCCCTCCTTTATTCTCTCTAGACATAACTATCCTAAATTTTATGTTGATCAATTTCCTTGCTTTCTTCAAAAGTGGTCAGCTTTGCAAAATAATGAGAAATCTAAAGCTCAATGTTTTTAAAACTTAAAAACAAGAAATTATTAGAAGAATCTGTATTAGAAATTTGGATGTATGTAGAATGGTCCCTTAACTAGAAAAAAAAATTCAGATATAAAACCCACAAACTTACCCTAAAGACATTTTTGTTTGTATTATTATTCACATTATTATTGACTTGCCACCCAGATTCCTCAAGTTTGGTCAGATTGTTGAATTTGTGGATTACATCTTCTATCTGTTAATAAAACACAAGTTTATCAGACTAATGTTAACCATATTAAATTTATAAACAAGCTGAAGATTAAAAAAAAATTGAGAATGGTGATTCAGAAATGATGAGTTATTAAAATTGGATTGAGTCATCCTCAATTTAGTGTTTCGATCAATAATTTTTATGGTAAAATTGTTCATTGTTGTCTCTCATCTTACAAACCTCCAAAATCTCTATAAAGAATATCACATATGAATAACTCTCCTGGATTATTTTTGACTAAAATGGCAGAAAAGATATCCCAAATGTTTTTGTTTCTTAAATTACACAATGTGAACACAAACTCTCTCTATATTTTTATTTATCCATTCCTCCACTGAAGGACATCTTGGTTGCTTCCATGTTTTGGCAATTATGAACAAAGCTGCTATACTGCTAAAAAACATCCGTGTGCAGGTTTTTATATGGACATAAGTTTTCAACTCATTTGGAGCGCAATTGCTGGATCGTATGGTAGGAGTATGTTTAGTTTTGCAAGCAAATGCCAACCTGTCTTGTAAAGTGGATTTAACATTTTGCATTCCCACAGCCAGTGAATGGAAAGTTCCTATTGCTCCATGCCCTCCCCAGCATTTGGTGCTGGCAGCGTTTTGAATTTTCACTGTTCTAGTAGGTATGTGGTAGTATCTCACTGTTGTTTTGTAGTTCCCTAATGACATATGATGTTGAGCATCTTTTCATATGCTTATCTGCCATCTGTATATCTTCTATGGTAAGGTATCTGTTTAGGTCTTTTGCCCATTTTTAACTGGGTTGTTCATTTCCTTATTGCTGGGTTTTAAGAGCTCTTTGTATCTTCTGGATAATAGTCTTTTATCAGATACATCTTTTGCAAATATGTTCTCCCAGTCTGTGCCTTGTCTTCTCATTTTCTTGACAAAATCTCATTTTAAAAGATTCAAATATATTTAATAGGATGGAAAGGTAATTCCCATCCTTCTGATACTTCCAGTCTCCTACAAAGAGTTAGCCATTGTCAACAGTTTGGTACCATGCTTTGAGTCTCCATGCTATACACTTATACACACATATCCTCTCAGCTTTGCTCTCCCTTAAAAATATGTAAATGTCTCTGGACATTGTGGCACATGCCTATAATCCAAGCTACCTGGGAGGCTGAGGCATGGGGATTCTCTTTGAGAATATTAATACTTGCATTTAAAAGTCCATCCAAAATGCTTTCTTCCTAGATGTCTGCTTTCTTTTTTTTTTTTTTTTGGAGACGGAGTTTTCCTCGTTTCCCAGGCTGGAGCGCAATGGCGCGGAACTTGGCTCACTCACTGCAACCTCCGCCTTCTGAGTTCAAGTGATTCTCCTGCCTCAGCCTCCCAAGTAGCTGGGATTACAGGCATGTACCACCACGCCCAGATAATTTTATATTTTATATTTTTAGTAGAGACGGGGTTTCTCCAGGTTGGTCAGGTTGGTCTCAAACTCCCAACCTCAGGTGATCCGCCCGCCTCAGCCTCCCAAAGTGCTGGGATTACAGGCGTGAGCCACCATGCCTAGCTAGGTTTGAAGCTTTCTTCAATGTCTATTGTTGGCTGTTGGTTCTTAAAATGCTATTTTATATGCTTATTTCTAAAACAAGTTCAAAAAGCTAGAGTCATCTTCCCCCATACCTTTACTGTTCTTCTGAGTGATTTCTTCTATCATAGCACTTTCTACATTAGAGTTATATTTTATATCTCAGTCACTAATCAAACTACAAATTCCTCTGGGACAGGGAACAAACCCTTCTATAAACTCCTAATACAATGCTGTAGACACAACAGGAACTCAGTAACTGCTAGCTGAACTCGACTACCGAAGGCCAGTTGACTCATTTCTCATATGTCAAATCATTATAGACTATTCAAGAGTTGAAAATAATCTCAGTTTTCAACCCACAAAGAAATTATCCTGACAATATGTGGGAGAAGAAGACATCAGCCATAAAATTTAGATTGTGTTTTACAGTTTATAAAGGTACTTTATAACATCTGATTTATATTACAAGTACCTAAGCAGCTAATATTACCCCATTTTCCTCCTGCTACTTAAAAAAAAAAGTCCAAAGTTAATATATTTGAAATATTTAACCACATACCTGAAAACTAACCATATCCCAAAATCCATCCAGATCTGTACAGGTAGTCTCCTTTATACCTCGTTTATATTCACAATCATTAATTAGTCCTTCAAACTGTTCGAACCTTTCCTTCATAAGGAGTCTTGTTTGTCCAACTGTTGTGCGAATAAGATCTTTAGCTGAAGGAAATAAGAGGTTTTTTAAAAGTAAAGGACAAAACAGACATTCATTGCAAGTCAGCCCACCAGTAAGACTTCACCCAAATATCCTAGGACTTACAGGTTGTTAAAGCAAAACAAAAAATATCTACCACAAAACTTTGTCATACAAATACTGAGTATTAACTATTTGCTTCAATTCCTGCTCAAAATTAACAATATTCACTCTCATACCTTTTGCTATATACTAAATAACAAACTACTTCTCCTCGTACTTTATAAGAACTCTCTGTCAGCCGGATGTAGTGGCTCACACCTGTACTCAGCACTTTGGGAGGCCTAGGTGAGTGGATCACCTGAGGTCAGGAGTTCGAGACCAGCCTGGCCAACCTGGTGAAACTCTGTCTCTACTAAAATAGCTGGGCATGGTGGCAGGTGACTATAATCCCAGCTACTCAGGAGGCTGAGGCAGGAGAATGACTTGAACCCAGGAGGTGGAGGTTTCAGTGAGCCAAAATCATGCCACTGCACTCCAGCCTGGGCAAAAAGAGCAAGACTCTGTCTTAGAAATAAGTAAATGAATAACACAACTCATTGCAAATAATTATCCAAGAAGGACCTCATACTGACAGTATATAATTCTTTCTAACAACTTCCCCAATCCCCAAGTAAGTCAGATTTTAAAACTCTTCAGAAAATCTTTTCCATATTTATTAAAGCAATTTTCTTTTTTTTTGTTTTGAGACGGACTCTCGCTCTGTCACCCAGGCTGGAGTGCAGTGGTGCAATCTCGGCTTACTGCAACCTCTGCCTCCTAGGTTGTCATACAAATACTGAGTATTAACTATTTGCTTCAATTCCTGCTCAAAATCACTTGATTCCCCTGCCTCAGCCTCCTGAGTAGCTGGGACTACAGGCATGTGATACCACGCCCAGCTAATTTTTTGTATTTTTAGTAGAAATGGGGTTTCGTCATGTTAGCCAGGATGGTCTCCTGACCTCGTGATATGCCCGCTTAGGTCTCCCAAAGTGCTGGGATTACAGGCATGAGCCACTGTGCCCAGGAATTTAGGTAATTTTCATTCAGAACATATTTTTGTACAAATAATAACAGATGTTGACATCACCCATGAAGTCATATCAAAAAAAGCCAATAATATTCACTGTTACTTGCTTGGTTAGAAAAATGTCTAAGTCAAAGGAATGACAGTCAATATTCTAATCACTTACATCTTTTAAGTTATATATCACTTTAGCACAGAGATATTAGGGAACATATATTGAGATTAAAAAAAATTCTTGCTTTTTAATATTGTAGACATGAGATTAAAAAACAAAAATTCTTGCTACTTTGAATAATAATGAAAATATAATGTTAGGCAATGCTATATTTTTATGTTGCAGAGAAACATAGCCATAATAAAAGAAGCAAAGCAAAGACAAAAAATATAAATGTTCCCTCACCATCATCCGGAATGTCCAAGTCAAGTTTCCTGTCCCACTCGAGGCAATGGGAAGTTAATTTCTCAGTTTCTGACTGGAGGATATTTCTAAAATTATGACATACATTTCAGTTCTACAAGTGATTTTCACACTAGTATCTAGGTATTAGCATTATAACATAATACATAATATTAGGAAGTTATAAAAGGTAGGCACGATATTAATTTCCTAAAGTTGATACTGATTTATAAACCATGATATATTAAAATCCATAAATACAAGTTGATACCTTGTGTATATACATCCTTTTTTACACCTAAAACTTACGTGGATGGATAATGCCAAGAACCTATTTTTTTTTTTTCCCCATTTATTTATTTTATTGCATTTTAGGTTTTGGGGTACATGTGAAGAACATGCAAAATTGTTGCATAGGAACACACGTGGCAGTGTGATTTGCTGCCTTCCTCCCCATCACCTACATCTGGCATTTCTCCCCTTGCTATCTCTCCCCAGCTTCCCACCCCAAAGAACCTATTTTTTAAGCTAACATTTCTAGTTTGTTCTTTTCTTTTTCAGAGGCTGATCAAAGTCGGAAATTCCTAAACATGCATTAGATTCTCTGCATTGTCCATGAAACTAAAGCCAACTCAACTGTCAAGAGTACATTAAAGCAAAAAACTGTTAAGTCCAGGATTACAGTGATAGGGCCTCACAGATTCTAATTATTAGGCTTTGCTTGCTTAAAGGTAGTGGTTCTCACTGGGCCAATTTTGCCCCCCTCTAGGGTAACATTTGGTGATGTTTGGAAATATTTTTCATTGTCATGACTGGAGGAGTGCTATTGGCCATAGATGCCACAAAACATCCTACAGTGTATAGGATACACACCCACAACAAGTATAAAATCTAAAATGTCAATAGTATCAAAGTTGAGAAATCCAGACCTAAAAAACGTTTAATCTGTGTCTATGTGAAAAGTATCCTAGCATGTAGAGAAACCGGAATCCTTGTACACTGTTCGTAGGAATGTAAAATGGCAAAGCCACTATAGAAAACCGTATGGCAGCTCCTCAAAAAATTAAAAATAGACTTACCATATGACTCAGCAATTCTAATTCTGGGTATATACCCAAAATAATTTAGAAGGGTCTCAAAGAGGTATTTATACACCCATGTTCATAGCTGTTCACAACAGTTAAAACATGGAAGCAACCCAAGTGTCCATGACAGACAAATGATAAGCAAAATGTGATAGATACATACAATGAAATATTATTCAGCCTTCAAAAGGAAAGTTTGACACGCTACAATAATGAATGATCCTTGAGGACATTATGCTAAGTGAAAGAATCCAGTAACAAAAAGACAAATACTACATAATTCTACTTATATAAGATACTTAGAGGAGTCAAAAATCATAGAGACAAAAAGTAGAATGGTATTTACTAGGGGCTGAGGGAGGGAGGAATTGTGAATTATTGTTTAGTAGGTACAGAGTTTCAGTTTCACAATGAAAAGTTATGGAGATGGATGGCAGTGATGGTTATACAACATTATTAATATATTTAATAGCATTAAACTGTACACTGAAATGATTAAAATGGTAAATTTTGTAGGTATTTTACAAAAATCTACAAACTTGAAAAAAAAAAAACTCTCCAAATGCAGAGATTAAAAATAACTAAACAAAAAATCAAGTTATCTTAGTAGGAAAAACTGAATAAAGACTTTCTTTTTTGAGATAGTTTTGCTCTTCTTGCCCAGGCTGGAGTACAATGGCATGATTTCAGCTCAATGCAACCGCTGCCTCACAGGTTAAAGCAATTCTCCTGCCTCAAGCTCTCACATAGCTGGGATTACAGGCACCTACCACCCCACCTGGGCAATTTTTGTATTTTAATAGAGACGGGGTTTCACCATCTTGGCCAGGCTGGTCTTGAACTCCTGACCTCAGGTGATCCGCCTGCCTCAGCCTCCCAAAGCTGGGAGGTTATAGGCATAAGCCACTGCACCTGCCCAGTTTTCTTTTTAAAAAAAAAAAAAGAAAAATTTAGAGCCAGGAGCTGTAGCTCACATCCGTAATTCCAACCAGCACTTTGGGAAGCCAAGGCAGGTAGATCACTTGAGCCAAGGAGTTGCAGTCCAGCCTGGGAAACATGGTGAAAAACAATCTCTACTAAAAAAAAAAAAAAAAAAAAAAAAAATACAAAAACAATTACCGAGGCGTGGTGGTACCTGCCTGTTATAAAAAAAAAAAAAATTTTTAATTTAAAAGATAAATGAAAATCACCTAACATCAGTTTCCCCCCACTATATTAACGTTAAAAAAATTTAATTTTAGTTTTAAATGTCTAGATATTAATATAAAATTCTTACACTAGAAACGAACAGACATAGACCCAGCTCCTCAGGAGGCTGAAGTAGGAGGTTGGGAGTTCAAGGCTGCAGTGAGCCAAGATCGATATACTGCACTGCAGCCTGGGTGACACAGTGAGACCCTATCTCAAAAAAAACCACAAAAACCAAACCAAAACAAAAAACTTGAGTTGTTTATATTCAATGACACAGCATGACGATTAATGAATGAGAAAGCAGAAATGGTTTATCTCTGACATTATCTAGTTGGTCAGATATCTCAATAACTCAGTTGAACAACACAATGGATTCAGCTACCTCTAAAATCCCTTATAATGCTAAAATCCAGTGCCCTAAAAAAGAAATTAAGCTGGATGCAGTGGCTCATGCCTGTAATCATAACAGTTTGGGAGGCTGAGGCAAAAGAATCACTTGAGCCTGTCAGTTCAAAACCAGCCTGAGCAATATCGTAAGACCCTGTCTCTACAAAAAAAATAAAAAACAAAATTAGCTGCCCACTGGTAGGAGGATGGCTTGAGCTCAGGACGCACAGGCTGCAGTGAGCTGAGATCATGCCACTGTACTCCAGCCTGGGAGACAGAGTGCAGCCATTTGAAATAAATAAATTAATTAAGTAAATAAAATAAATAAAGTCATTTTCAAAAAAGATATGTATAATACAACAAATGAATAGTAAAAATATAGTGAGATACTTCTCATCTATTTGATTTGCAAACAGCATAGTGTGTATTGTATGCTATTGTCTGTATTTTTAAAAAAGGAAAATTGTGTATGTTTGTATTTACCTACATGCATTAACTATCCATGGAAGTATTCACAAGAAATGAGTAACACTGGCCTTCATGAAAGGTTCAAATTATGCAGTTGGGACACCGTGCTGAGAAGGAGACCTCTCACTTCCACCTTTTGAATTAAGAACCACATGAATGTACTAGTTATCAAAAAAAAAAAAAAAAATTAAAATTTAAAATATAAGAGAAAATCACCTAATGTCAGGTTTCCTCACACTGTATGAAGGTTAAAATTTTTCAGTTTTGGTTTTAAATGTCTAGATATTAATACAGAATTCTTACACTAGAAACAAACAGACATACCTGAAATATGGCACATCATGGTAGGGCTGAGATATTTGACCTTCATTTGTTTCAAGTGATGAGACTTCTTTTATTGGAAGGTCATTTGAATCTTTAGTAGTAGCTTCATTTTTTTTAAAAACATGTTCTATAAAGAAAGTCTTACATATAAATTTCAAAGCAACAATTCTTAAAATGACAGCCCCAAAAAAGACCTTTTAAAAATCCTTCAATTTTTTTCCATGTTTAATTTTAAAATTTTATTTCTGTCTCAATGACTTCATTCACATTTCCTCTAAAGTAGCTCTGAATATTTTTTTCTTTAAATTTACATTTCCCCTTTTCTCTGTATTCTTCATTCCAATTCTGTCTTCAGATATCTTTACCCATGTCTTCCTGTCTTTTCTGACAGTGAGTTCATATATGACCCTTAGTTCATATCCTCAAAAGATATGGTGAAAAAGGGCTCTAAACTAATCTGACAATAATTCAGAAAAGTAAAAATTTAAATTACTATACCTGAAAGTAAAAGATTTTTTGTATTATTAATAACATTAGTCTAAAAATTAAATACATTAAATAAATAAATAAATACATTAATTAAATACTATACCTTCATGCCCAACAGTCAGAGGACCCAAAGGACACTGCAATTTATTTGAATCCTGCTGCACTGTCTTGGTAGAGTAAGTTTTACATTTTTGCGCCCAAATTTCTTTTGTTGCTTCTTGAGAGTTATCACTAAAAACAATAGCAAAAATATACTTCATGAAACATGAACTCCATATATCTAATTTAAGGGATTTCAAAGTTGTGCCACTTTTTATAAATCTGGGTTAAAAAAGAAATTCTTCTATTTTTTAAAAAAATGTGCATTCTGGAGGGGAGAAAATTTAAACACCTATAGTGTGAATGTCTCTCTTTACTAATTAATTGTAATGAGATTCAAATATTTTGAAGACTTCCTTTTTGTTTTTTTTGAGACGGAGTCTTGCCCTTTTGCCCAGGCTAGAGTGCAATGGCCCGATCTCTGGCTCACTGCAACCTCCACCTCCTGGGTTCAAGCAATTCTCCAGCCTCAGCCATACAGAGTAGCTGGGACTACAGGCAAGTGCCACCACGCCTGGCTAATTTTTTGTATCTTTAGCAGAGACAGGGTTTCACCATGTTGCACCAGGCTGGTCTTGAACTACTGACCTCAGGTGATCCGCCCGCCTCAGCCTCCCAAAGTGCTGGGATTACAGGCATGAACCACCGCGACTGGTGATTTTGAAGATTTTTTAAAATTTTTATTTATTTACTTTTTTATTTACTCGGATGAAGATTTCTTAATAGAACATAAACACTTAATAGTCTTAGATGCTGCTGAGCAGTTTCTAGTATATTTGCTGCCAGCCAGTCTTTGCAAAATCATCTTGCCTTTTCTTTTAAAGGTTCCAACTGATTTTTCCTTTGCTTTACAAATTAATCATTTTTGTCTTCAGAAGCAGTTTTTCTAAATACTAAGCCAGAACAAAATGAGGAAAAAGTCATATCTGAGCTACAGTATTCTAACAATTTTCTTCTTTTGAAAAATGTTATTTGTGTTACATCACTTACTAAAAACAAAAAAACCCCAAATTGTATAGTGAAAATAACAATGCATAGGAAATATAGAAACTGTCAAGTACATTATTATATCTTCTGAGGAATTTTTTAAAAGAAAAAATTTCATGGTTCATAACTAACATAGTTCAATAGCTAAATAACTTTTTAGGAGTACAGGCTAAATATAAGAAAGGCATTTATGGCCAGGCGCGGTGGCTCAAGCCTGTAATCCCAGCACTTTGGGAGGCCGAGGCGGGTGGATCACGAGGTCAGGAGATCGAGACCATCCTGGTCAACATGGTGAAACCCCGTCTCTACTAAAAATACAAAAAAAACATTAGCTGGGCATGGTGGCGCGTGCCTGTAATCCCAGCTACTGAGGAGGTTGAGGCAGGAGAATTGCCTGAACCCAGGAGGCGGAGGTTGCGGTGAGCCGAGATCGCGCCATTGCACTCCAGCCTGGGTAACAAGAGTGAAACTCCGTCTCAAAAAAAAAAAAAAAAAAAAAAAAAAAAGAAAGGCATTTATTACCCATCTTAGCAAGGGACTTATTAATATTACATTCTTACACTTCTGTTTCTGAAGAAGTCCAGGTGTAACTGGGTGTCAAAAAAGCATTGGCACTTCTGGGAGTCATAGGTGTTAGTTGATAGGTCTTGAGACCATCCAGTGGCTGAAACGTAAAATCTTTAGGTGCAAAGGAATTCTTCCCTCTCATTTTTGCAGAATGTATCTCAGGTACGTTTTCCATTTTTGATAAGACTCCATCTGGATCCATTCCATTTGTTGCACTAGTTTGTGAATCCAAAGTATTTTCTTCACTATCGACTTTACAAGAAAAACCCTAGGATGTGAGTTAACAAAGTAAGATTTCTCTCTTCTGAGGATATATTCAACCAATTTTTATATGTTTGAAAACATGACAACTGAAATATATGTACTACGTACATAATTTGAGAGACAAAAACAGATACATTTAAGTATATACATGGAATCAGAAGACTGGTTATGCTAAACCATTGCTATTCCCCAGGAATAGAGCAAACCAATTCTTATTAAAAGACTAATACTGGCCGGGCGTGGTGGCTCACGCCTGTAACCCAAACACTTTGGAGGCCAAGGTGGGCGGATCACCTGAGGTCGGGAGTTCAAGACCAGCCTGACCAACATGGTGAAACCCCATTTAAAAAAAGAAAAAAAAAAAAAAGACTAATATGTTTTAGAAATTACAACAAATTAAAAGATAATGGAAAATTAATATGGAGAAACTTGTTCAACAAGCATAGACCTTTTCACTTAAATTATGTTGATAATTACAATGGTTTAAAATCAGAAATCTAACATTATGGAATGATTATCGTTAAGGACCAAATCCTTTACTTAAATAACCTTAGATTATAAATAACCTTACCACAAGAGCAATACTTTTCAATGTGACACAAAAGATTAACCATATAAAATACAAAGCATATTTACTATTTCAAGTCAATTTGTTACTTGGTATTTAAATATAATTTCTAGAGGTTTCTAGGCTTCTGATTTTTAATAAGATATGAACTCAAACCCAGGTATTTCAACCTGGACAAAAGTTTAAGTAGTAACACTGTTAAAGCTAGCATGGTAGTCAAAGCAAAAACTAGCAATAATCCTTAAGGGTAAAATAAATCTTAAGGGAGGACCTATAAGGTCCAGCTGCTTTATCTGCGAGGATGCATTGTGTTTCCTTTCTTGATCTGTGTTTGATTTTTTACTAAGAATCTAGCAAGTTTAGTTAATCTTTGTTACTTTTTTTAAATTAAGAAATTACACAGGTGGGGAGCAGTGGCTCATGCCTCTAATCCTAGCACTTTGAGAGGCCAAGGCAGGTGGGTCACCTGAGGTCAGGAGCTCAAGACCACCCTGGGCAACACGGTGAAACGCCATCTCTACCAAAAATACAAAAGTCAGACGGGTGTGGTGGCACGCAGCTATAATCCCAGCTGCTCCAGAGGCTGAGGCGGGAGAATCACTTTAACCCCGGAAGTGGAGGCTGCAGTGAGCTGAGATGGCACCACTGCACTCCAGCCTGGGCAACAGAATGAGACTCTGTCTCAAAAAAAATAAAAATAAAAATAAAAATTATACCATAGATTTATAAGACAAAGAGTCCTCAAATGGGGCATATTTTTTGAAGACCTTATTAGAAACCATTGCAGATGCTGGCAGAAATTTTAGTTTAATTCTTACAAGTACTCTATGTAGGTATTCCATATTAGGATTAAGAAAACAAACTCATAAATTACATAACTTGCCCAGGGTTATATAGCTAATTGGAAGCAGACTACTCAAATCCAGGCCTAAATGAATCCAAAGTCAATGCATTTCACCCCACTCCATCCTATGTCTTGGCTAATTCCCATATAAAGGTTTCTCTCAGCTGTGTTTTTATTATTTTTCTCCATCTTCTAACCAAATTATGCTTTCCCTACATATAAAGCTCTGAAGGGCGCAGTGGCTCACATCTGTAATCCCAGCACTTTGGGAGGCCAAGGCAGGTGGATCACAAGGTCAGGAGTTCGAGACCAACCTGGCCAATATGGTGAAATCCTGTCTCTACTAAAAATACAAAATTTAGCAGAGCGTGGTGGCACGTGCCTGCAGTTCCAGCTACTCGGGAGGCTGAGGCAGGAGAATCACCTGAACCTGGGAGGCAGAGGTTGCAGTGAGCTAAGATCATACCACTGCACCCCAGCCTGGGCAACAAAGTGAGACTCTCTCAGGGAAAAAAAAAAAAAAAGCTCTGAAAATAACATACCAGAAAAACAACAAGAACAAATCCTCTTGATGCTTTCTTATGGTCTGGGAAGTTTTTTATTTATCTTTATTTATTTAAATGGAGCTTAATTTGTTTAACCAGGCTGGGGTACAACGGCACAGATCTTGGCTCACAGCAACCTCCACCTCCCAGGTTCAAGCGATTCTCCTGCCTCAGCCTCCCGAGTAGCTGGGATTACAGGCATGTACCACCATGCCTGGCTAATTTTGTATTTTTAGTAAGGACCAAGTTTCTCCATGTTGATCAGACTAGTCTAGAATTCCTGACCTCAGATTATCTGCCCGCCTCGGCCTCCCAAAGTGCTAGGATTACAGGTGTGAGTCACCGTGCCTGGCCTGGTTCAGGAAGTTTTAACACACAAGTAGGTTAACCTCTTGAAGCAGTTCTGTATGTTTAATTTCAACTTTATGAAAGTAGCAATAAGATTTTCAAAGCATCTAGAAGTAAAAAGATGTTTATTCTCTACCTTGTCAGGTTTTGTTTCTATGTTTTTGGCAGTTCTTCCTTTATTTGGCACCTTTCTTTCTGGTTTGTTTTCTAAAATAACAATAAAATAAAATATTTTACTAGATAGAAATGCTACATTAAAATACTAGGTAACTTGGGAAAGGAAAAAAAGCAACAGGAGGAATACATGTTTTGAAGGATTTTTATTATAAAAAGCCATATTATAAAAGAGGTTAAAAACAAATGGAATTTCCTGCCAAGTACAGACCATCTGTTTTCAAAGTCAGAGTGTTTTACCTTTTCCCTCTGAATACCAAATACAGATTGAGTATCCTATATCCAAAATGCTTGAAACCAGAGGTATTTTAGATTCCAGATTTTGGAATATATACATTATACTTACAGGTTCAGCATACCTGATACAAAAATCTAAAATCTGAAATACTCCAATGAGCATTTCCTTTGAGCATGACCTTTAAATGTCATATTGGTGCTCAGGATTTTGGATGTTTTGATTAGGATTGCTCAACCTGTACATATTTATTACAGACAATTAGAAAAATACAAAAGACTACAAAGAACAGCAATGAAAAATCACCGAGATTCCATTACTCAGTTGTCACTTAGGGTATGGTTTTCCAGTCCTATATCCACATAATCACATACTGTTTTTTAGAATTGTGATGCTACTGTACAGAGTTTGACCTGCTTTTCTTTGCCCACTTAATATATCATGAATGATGTCATTAAGTGCTCTTTTATAATATCGTTCTTAATGGCTACATTGTATTGCCACAATATATGAACTATGATTTATTAGGACCATTAATTTTTCACTTTGAAACACTGCTTATACCAATTCAGGTCTTCAATGTTTGGGCATCCATGATGTGCTAACTGGATGTCATGGCACAGAATCTAGTTTCAGGAATTACAATTTCCTGTTTTCTTCTTTCCTACTCAAAGTACTTGTTGATTTTTGAAACAGAATACAAAAACCTCAAGGACCAAACATTCTAGTTCAGTAACTGATCAAGGAATAGTTCTTACCATTAGCAGCTCTTGCAACTGGCTTTCTTGCTGTGGTAGATGAGACTGTTCTGGGAACCTGCTTTGCCGCTTCAGTAGCTGATCGAGTCATTCTCAATGACGTAGGCATTACAGGCTGCACAACTGTGCAGAAAAAAAAAATAATCAAATGTCCTTTGTAGTTATTAAATTATGGTTGTGAAGCCGGGCATGGTAGTGCATGCCTGCAGTCCCAGCTACTCAGGAGGCTGAGGCGGGAGGATCACTTCAGCGCAGAAGTTTGAAACCAGCCTGGGCAACATAGTGAGATCCCACAGCTAAAAAAACTGTAAAAATCAGCTGGGCATGGTGGCAAGCCTGTAGTTCCAGTTACTCAGGAGGCTGAAGTGGGAGGATCACTTGAGCCCAGGAGGTGGAGGCTCCAGTGAGCTATGATTGCACTACTGCACTCCAACCTGGGCGACAAGCCTGTCTCAAATAAATAAATAAATAGATTCCAGTTGACCTTCTGGACACTTAAAAAAAATTATGGCTGTGGTAGCCTTAGAGAATTTACAGTAATTGCTAATATTCCTACCTTTTTTCTCTTTGTCTGACACTTTCTTTTCGGAAGTTTGTCTTTGACCAGGTCGGACTGCTTGAACATCACTGTCATTATCAATCTATTTAAGAGATTAGGTGTCATGTGATTTAATTGCAAAATGAATCAAACCACCACATTTTTAATCCATAAATTGATTCCTCATCTGAAATATGATCATTGTAAATGACCCAACCAAAAAAAAAAAAAAAACTACCCCAAATAAAATGAGATAAAATAAAAAAGCTTTCCATTAAGCTTCCAAAAAAGCCTACATCCTTTTTCAGAATCACAGATTTTAGAAAATGCAAATAACCTAAGCTATTAAAAACTGCTAACTATAACTTGCCTTCTGAAGGTTTTTAAACACTCCAGACATGCTTTCATTTCAAGAGATTTTAATTTTGCCTAGAAAATGCTTCTCCTGGATAAAAAGCTCTTTTCCATGGTTCTCTCCTCCACTTCCATAATGGCTTTACTCAAAAGGCTTTCATCTCAGAGAGGCCTTCCTTGACTGCCCAATCAAAATTCTACCCCATACCTACTTCTAGTACATCCCATCTCCCTTTTTAAAGATCTCCTCCATAATACTTATGATCTTCTGACATATGTTTGATTTTTTTTTTAACTGCCTTACACGTAAGTTCCACAAAGACAGGAAATTTAGCTTATTATTATATCCAAAAGCCCACAACAATGCCAGGAACATCATAGCAATGCAAAATCTATTACATATGCATATGTGGAACTAAGCTTCCTTCCCTGATGAAGAGGCATACTATTTCCCTTTGCCCACTTCACTTTTAGTAACCCTCCTAATATCTTTCTTACATTATTGTGAAGACCCATAAGTTTATAACACCTACCCTGTGTGTTTTCCTCCCCATCTGCATTTCATGCAGGTAACTTGCATGTATAACAGGAACCCAGTAAACAAAACAAGAGTGTGACACAAAGACAGTTTGCCATGGATCTCATAAGGAATGTTGGAGCAAATATTTTAAGTGAAATTACTCTACATCACCATACCAAAAACAGTGACTTTCATACCTGTTAACTCTAGTAAGTTAACCATTATGTTTGAATCTGATATTAGATTAAAAGTGAATTTATTCACTCTGAAAAAAAGTACAATTTATCATTTTAGTAACAATTATCTACTGTCAACTATACCTTAGCCTGCTCCATTTGGTCTTTGGCCTTTGACCTTGTAATCCGTACAGAAGATGGAATAGCCTTAGAATAATCAAAAGAAAATAAACTTTAAAAAAACGAACTGGCAAATAAGAAAAAAATAAAAAAAGAACTGGCAAAGGTTTACTTCCATATCTTATTATAAAATAAAGTTCCCTTTTTAAAGTTAAATTCTATCCTTAATCCCTTATAGCAGCAAAAAGATACTCACTTAAATTCCTATTTTTTTCCTGGTTCTAGCCTGATTAAGTTAATAACTTCAAAAATCACTCATATTTCTCAGTGAGAAAGAAATTTCAAACCACATTTTCCAGGTATTGTAATCCTCATTAATATGATTAACTAGACAATAAGAATGCCACAGATGGGCAGATTAGAGTATTAGGATCTTTGTTTTCTCTTTATAAAAAGCTATCTTATAGCTTTCCTAGTTTTGAGTTTTAACAATTTGCTTTTGATTCTCATGATTATGCACTTGTCCACTGTCCATAAGAAAACAGAGACTTGATCACAAAATGTGGAAAACGCTAGCAAGAGAAAAAATGAAAATTCCTTAAGAAGCATAATCGCAGACTTCTCTAGATTAGAAACCATTTTCTTCTAATCTGTGAAAACCTAGTGCTAAAAACTAGTCTTTCCTTTAGAGTGCATAAAGAAAGTAGAATTCATCAGTGGCTACCATATAAATAGAATATAAAAACAATGATTGGTGAATCTTATTATTTAATACCATGATGTACCTCTGTTCCTATTTAACACTTTTTAAATAGCTGTTTGGAGTTTAGACCAGTGATTGGTATCCTACATATTCTTGAAAAGCCAGCTTAAATCTAACCCTTTCCAAGAGTAGTTCTTTGTTGTTCCTCCAAACAGAAACAATCTCTCCCTCCTCTCATATAGAATATATTTATCTGTATCTTGCTACCTTGAATTGTATCCTATTACTTTTGGTCTCTTCCATATTTATACCAGAGTAAATAACCAAGGATCTGTCCAATGAATCAGTGAGATTCATAAGGCCAAGAATATTATTCAAGTTTTACTTAAATCAGGAATGTACATACAGTCAATGAGATCATCAGTGCCTACAAATTTACAATCTAGCTGCTTTTGTTCAAACTTTATCCTTCCTGACTCACTGACCACGCTCTCCTTTAGATTACTCTGCCTTTAACCTTCTATCCTTTTAGTTCTCTTGCCTCCCTGCCCAGTCCTCAGCCAAGTACCTGACTTCTGCCCACCTAAAGGTGCTCTCTAGAGTGACTTTTTCATAATTTTATATATCCTTATTGGAATGGTCTCAGTCCTACAGCTTAAACTCCCGTCTATACTTCCAATATTGTATCCTAAATCTACATCCTAGCACCAATTTCCATCTTGCTTTCTAAATTTTTACTCACTGGTGTCTAGATGTTCTACACAAGTTTAAGATTTTTTAAAAGGTTATTAGCATGCACCCACTTAAATTTCTTCCTTTTCTTATCTCTTTTAGCAGCAGCATAATTTATATGGTTAATCAAATTAATAGCTTCAGAATCTTCTCTCTGCTTTTTCAATTTCCTTTACCCCTCACCATCTACTCGGCCACCAGTCCTGTCAAATGCCTTTCTTTAGCTGTCTTAGACCTATCTTTTCATTTTAAAACCCACTGCCCCTTTCCACCTATTCCATTACAGTAGTCTCACAATTGGTCTCCCTATCTATAAATGCTTCTCTTTCCAGACTAAAAGCTTTAGGGCTACGGTGTTTTCCTGAATTATTAATTTGACAGTGGCACGGCACTTATTTAAAATTTCTCTTGATTCTTCATAACCTACAGGATAAACACGAAATTCTTTGCACAACATTGTTCAGCCTGGTTCTACCCATTTTCCTAGTTTTACCCCATCTCAACTTACCTACAGCTATCTCAAGAGACCTGATTTTCATTCTTCTGAGCTACTATTATGTCACTCCCACCTTCTACCAACCACTGAAGTAAATAAAGAGACTAAGGGAAAGGGGTTATTTAAGTCTTGAAAAGGGTTATTAATGTCTTGAAGAAAATTCCCAATAAAAGAAACTATTCCTTTTTATTAAGACACTAAATTTACCTTTTTTGGCTCAGCTTTCATAGCATTCTGGTATGATAAAAGAAAACAAGGCATATCAGGTCTATAACGACCCACTTTAAATATTCCTCGTTTAGCTTTCTCTCTCTGCTCTTTCAATTTTTGAAGTTGCTTTTCTTCTTTGTATTTTTGGAGCATTTGTTTTCGTTGATCACCAAGAACAGTTTTCAGTGACTCTAGGCAGGAAAAAAAAACAAAACAGCACAGTATATAAAACATTTCAGATGAAAAATTATGCAAATGTCTAAACAATTATTTTTGTGTCATTTCAATTGCTCCTAAAAAATGCTTTCAATAAGCCAGGCACAGTGACACATCTGTAGTCCAACCTACTGGGGAGGCTGAGGCAGAAGGATCATTGGGCCCAGGAGTTCAAGTTCAGCTTGGGTAACATAGCAAGACTCCTCCACACAAAAGGAAATGCTTTTAATATTTCTTGTTAATTCTTTAGCACTCTAACCACAAGTTATTTCCACCCCTAGTCTTTTAAAATTTGTATTCATTTTGCCTTCATGTGTTCAAATATTAAACACTTGCTACATACTAGGCATGTATTACTTCACTTTTAAATTAATTAATTGTATGATAGCCAGCATCCAAGCTGACCGCTACCGATCCTCACTTCCTGGTAGTCTTGCCTTGTGTCATCCCCTCACACTGAATAGGGCTGAGTCGTGTGATCAAGAGAGTATTACAGGAATAATGGAGTATGACTTCTAAAACTAGGTAGTGTTTGCCTTGCTCTCTCTTGAAGAGTCATTTGTTCTCAGGGAAGCCAAGTGCCATGCGGGGCCTTAAGAATACTCAAGTAGTCCTACTGAGATGTCCATATGACAAAGAACTACAGCCTCCTGCCAAAAGCCAGCACCAACTTGCTGTTCATGAGTCCATCATCCTGGGGGCAGATCCTCCAGTTTCAGTTAAGGCTTCAGATATACCTCTGGATGACATCTTGGCTCAAATTCCTGACCCACAAAAATTGTATTAAGTAATCAATGTTTATTGTTTTAAGCTGCTAAGTTTTGGGATAAATAATACAATTATAGGTGCTATTTATTATAATAGATGTACTCCATTCCTTCTCATCTACTCAAGGACATTCTTCCAGCAACTTATCCTCTCACTCATCTATTTTTTCCTCTACTGAACTGTTGCCGTCACAAAGTTACAAACATGTAGTAATTTCTCTAGTCCCATTTAAGGCAAAATTCTTCAAGAGAGTTATCTGTATTTCTACTTCCAACACTTTTTTTTTTTTAAAGACAGAGTCTCGCTCTGTCACCCAGGCTGAAGTGCACTGCGTGATCTTGGCTCACTGCAACCTCTGCTTCCTGGGTTCAAGCAATTCTCCTGCCTCAGCCTCCCTAGGAGCTAGGATTACAGGCACGTGCCACCATACTAGGTTAATTTTTATATTTTTAGTAGAGATGGGGTTTCACCATGTTGCCCAGGCTGGTCTTGAACTCCTGACCTCAGATAATCCACCCACCTCAGCCTCCCAAAGTACTAGGATTACAGGCATGAGACACTGCACCTGGGCTACTTCCAACACTCTTTACAACCCCTCTCTTATTTTCAAAATTATGAAAAATTTCTAATATACAATCAGAATTATAATGAACCTCATATACCTATTACCCAGATTCAATGACTATGAAAATTTTCCTGGAGTTGTTTAAAACAAATTATACTTAGAAGATTTCATCTCTAAATACTTGAGTATATACTTCCATAAAACAAAGACATTTCCTTTCATAGCCTTAACACATCATCATCACACTAAACAAAATCAGCAGTAATTCCTTGTTATCTATTATAGGATCCAGATTTAAACTTCTCTATTTGCTTCAAAGAGGCCTCTTAAGCCATCTATTTATTTAAATCAAGAACCAAGTAAGATCTACTTATTTTATTTGGATCTCTTTTTCTTTTTTTTGAGACCGAGTCTCACTCTGTTGACAGGCTGGAGTGCAGAGGCACAGTCTTGGCTCACTGCAATCTCCACCTCTGGGTTCAAGCGATTCTCCTCCCTCAGTCTCTGGAGTAGCTGGGTTTACAGGCACACACCACCATACCCAGCTAATTTTTGTATTTTTAGTAAAGATGGGGTTTCACCATGTTGGCCATGATCTCCTGACCTCATGATCCACCCGCCTCCCAAAATGCTGGGATTACAGGCGTGAGCCACCATGCCTTTTAAGTCTCTTCATACAAAACAGATCCTCCTCTCTACTATTCATGCCTTGTCTTACTGACAAAAGGTAGTCAGTTTTCCTACTGAATGTCCTGCAAGCTATATTTGTTTACTCATTCCTCTAGGCCCCATGTTTTCTATAAACTAGAAATTATATCTAAGGGTTTGATTATACTTACCCATTCCAATCTGAGTTTCACTCCCTGAATCTCACTCCACCAAACTATTCATCAAGATCACCAATGACTTCCACAGTGGTGAAGTCCAAATTCTCACCTCTCATATACTGGATCTAACAAGCAATACTAATATAGTTAATCAGTCTCTCCTCCTTGATATGCACTTTTCCACTTGGTTTCTAGGATAGCACATTCTTCTGGTTATCCTCTTGCATTACTTTGCACTGTTCCCTGGTTCTTTACTAGTTTTCCCTTGACTTTTCATATTTTAATATCAACTAAATTATTGCAATAGTCTACTTACTGCTCTTCCTGATGCCATACCTACTAACCCACAATCTATTCTCAACACAGCAGCCAAAGTGTTCCTTTTTTTTTTTTTTAAGGGACAGGATCTCTTTGTGTTGCCCAGGTCCGAGTACAGTGGCTACTCACAGGCACCATCATAGCACACTAAAGCTTCAAACTCCTGAGCTCAAGATCTTCCTGTATCAGCCTCTGGAGTAGCTGGGGCTACAGGCCTGGCTCCAAAGTGATCCTTTTAAAACATAAATCAGACTAAATAAACACTCATTAATGGCCTCTCATTTCAGAGTGAAAGCCAATGTCCTTACAATGATGGTCCTTAGGATTCTATGCAATCTGTCTCCCTTGTTCATTCTTTTCTAGCCAGTTACCTACTTGATTTCTCTAAAACAACAGGCACACTCCCATCTCTAAGCCTCTGCAAATGAGAAATAAAGGATATTTTCAAAGCATATTGACACAGACTTTTATTTGATTTTGGTTAAGAAATGGAACATTTGAGAGGACAAGAGTAGAGGCCAGGCGATGACTTAGGAGGTAATACTACCACCGATTCTCAGAAAAAAATTTTGGTTCTTTCTGACACTCCCCATTTATCCTAGCATTATTTCAATGCCATCTAGCTCCTAATGCCTGCTATATGAACACAACAAATAGGAGTATGGTGACTCCTGACTAAAGTCATTTCTCAGTCTCCTTTCTCTTCTCTGTAGCATCCTTTGCCTTCTAAGATGCTCTATTTTCATCTTTTTCTGAGATTACTCCTTTCTTCTTTAGTTGGTTCTTTTCATCCTAATGGTCCCAGTCCTTCTGGGGAAACTGCAAAGATGAATTCTTTGCTGTTTTCTTAGTAATGTTTCCATTGACAAAGTACTCTCATTTCATATATTCTTTATTCTATTTATACATTTCTTATCAATTTATCTAGTCAACACTAATCTTACCCAAGCTCCATAAGAACTTTAGGATTTCTATAAGGCAATATGGATAACAAAGTGTTATAATATTCCATAGGTAAATGGCTTTGCCTAAGAGGCAGTAGTTGTAGAAAACAGGTTATTAAGGAACCAGGTGCCATGGCTCACGCCTGTAATCCCTACACTTTGGGAGACTGAGGCAAAAGAATTCCTTGAGCCTCGGAATTTGAGGTTATAGTGAGCGCACCACTGCACTACCGCCTGAGTGACACAGTAAGACTCTGCCTCTTGTATTTAAAAAAAAAAAAAAAAAGGTTATTTAGAACAGTTATTCAAAGGTTATTTCAAAACTCTTCTGGCCAGGGTGTTTTACTCACACAGGCATTAAACCAACTATTATTCACTCTTAAAATTACAACAGATCTTTACTTACTTGGCTTGACATTGGCCTTTTCTGGAACAAGCTCTTGAGATGTCTCATCTAATTCAACAAGAATTCTCCCTTCCAAGGTTGGAATATTTACATCTTTCAAACCAAAGTGTCTATTTCGTTCATATTCCTTATGTCTGCTTTCTTTCTGAGACAGTGATTTTCTGTGAGCAATTTTAGTTCTAATCATTTCAGTACTTAAATCTTTCCTATGTCGACTGGCAAAATGTGAAGACATCCTGTCAAGGAAAAGCACAAAACCCAACTTACATGAATTTTCACTATTTAAAAAATTAAGATTACAGTTCATCTCCTGTCCCACTTCAGAGCCTTCTGAAATAAAATATGAAAATGCACAATGAAATAAGTATGTAACACTGAAAAGCGGGAAGCAGATTATCAGAGCATAGGAAGCTACAACCTATTTGGGAGTTTTAAATAGGAACTTTCTTGACCAATGAAGAGAAAGCCAAGAAGCTACAGTACAGAATAAAAGAGGCTCTGGGCTTACTATAGAGAACACCGCAAAAACAAAAGCATGAACTAAAAGTGAAAATAGGGTAAGTAAGTGAAGAACAGTGTATAGAATGGTTTCCTTACCCATGATGATGAATGCAGGTAGTCTAACATTTCTTCAAAAGCCAAAAAAACAAAAACCCCACACCAGGTGCCTCCTAGTCACGTAGGGACAATCAACAGGCAACTGGATACAGATAGCTGGATAGAGTTGGATAGAGAGGCACAGGGAAAGGTATGTGGAAAGGAACAAGAAGCTTTCATGCTCTCTCAGGTAGCACTGCTGGTTAGGAACCTGCATGTGTTCACCTATCTAGAAGCTCTCCAAACCCAGGTTTTGTTTTTTGTTCTTTTTTAATGGCAGCTTCATTACATACACATGAGTGATTAAATCATTGGCCACTGGCGATCAAATCAACCTTCAGCTCCTCTTCCCCCTCACCCCCGCAGAGGTTGTGAGGTGGGGCTGAAAGTCCCAACTCTCTAATCCTGGCTTGGTCTGTCTAGTGACCAGCCCCAATCCTGAAGCTATTTAGAGGCCTCCAGCCATCCGTCAATCATTAGCATACAAAAAGATATCCAAGGATTTTAGGAGTTTTCCAGAAAACAAAACAAGACCAAATATATAGTTCACAATAACCGTATCACTTTGCTCCATTATTTTCATCCATACAAGAACAAGAAATCATGTAGTGTAGGCCCGTCCGGTGGCTTAGGCCTGTAATCCTACCACTATGGGAGGCAGAGGCAGCAGGACTACTTGAGCCCAGAAGTTCGAGACCAGCCTGGGCAACATAGCATGACCCCGTCTCTATAAATTTAAAAAAAGAAAAGCCATACATACACACACGCACATGCACAAGATCATATAGTTTACTTGGCACAACCTTTTTCTAGCAAAGATCTATATTCAAGCAAAACAAAAGAGGGCAATAAAGATGATGTCAGTGGATCCAACCGGGGAGAACAAAGAAAAGTGGAGTCTGAGGGGGCCACCAGTGTAGCTGGTACAGAGAAACACCAAGCCAAACTGGAGAAAGGGTACTGATTCTCAGAAGTCTTGGCAGTTTAAAAAAAAGAGGGGGAAGGGGGGAGGCTCTGTGATAGACACACTATGGTATATTCTTCAACAAGAATTAAATCTACTAGAAAACTCCAGATAATGGAAAAATTGGCACAATAAATGCAATAAATTGTTACATGATTCTAAGTAATCAACAAAGTATAAAAAATGAGAATCTGGCCGGGCGCGGTGGCTCAAGCCTGTAATCCCAGCACTTTGGGAGGCCGAGGTGGGTGGATCACGAGGTCAAGAGATCGAGACCATCCTGGTCAACATGGTGAAACCCCGTCTCTACTAAAAATACAAAAAATTAGCTGGGCATGGTGCCTGTAATCCCAGCTACTCAGGAGGCTGAGGCAGGAGAATTGCCTGAACCCAGGAGGCGGAGGTTGCGGTGAGCCGAGATCGCGCCATTGCACTCCAGCCTGGGTAACAAGAGCGAAACTCCGTCTCAAAAAAAAAAAAGAGAATCTGGGCTGGGTGTGGTGGCTCACGCCTGTAATCCTAGAGCTTTGGGAGGCAGAGGCAGGCCGATCACCTGAGGTTGGGAGTTCGAGACCAGCCTGACCAACATGGAGAAACCCCGTCTCTACTAAAAACACAAAATTAGCCAGGCACGGTGGCGGGTGCCTGTAATACCAGCTACTTGGGAGGCAGAGGTTGCGGTGGGCCGAGATTGTGCCATTGCACTCTGGCCTGGGCAACAAGAGTAAAACTCCACCTCAAAAAAAAAAAAAAAAAAAAAAAAAAAGAGACAATCTGTCCGACCTGCATGTTAATAACATTCAGATCTAAGACCCAAGGGAAATGACAACTGACTGTGCGTTTTATCAAGAACTCTCTTCCACTATTTGTTATCTCCAGCAGTATTAATTTGCTAAATGTTGAAGAACAACTAAGACTTATGTATTATTTTAAATACGGGATAGCACTATCCACAGCAACAGAGAGAGAAAGAGCGAGAACATTAAAGGTATAATTATCAGAATAACCCTGAAAGGCAGTTACTATTATCGCTCTTGAACAGATGAGGTAAATTAACTGCTCACATTAGCATAGCTAAAAGCTGGTGGAGCTGGGATCCCAAGCCAGGCAGCCTGGCTCTTGACACACACCTAAATTTTGTTTGGCTGAGTGGCGTTTCCTTCAGCTTGCAAGTCTAGAATGCGTTAATTTTGTAGGACTAGAAGTTCTCAGCCGGGCATTTTTAGTAGTCATGGGATCTGGGAAGAGCTACGGGAATTTTTTGTCGGAGCTAGGGATGCTAAACGTCCCTCGACGTGAAGAATAATTTCACCCCAAATGCCAAGTACGCCCCGGTGGTGAAACGCTGACTAGTAGACAGGCCAGGGCAAACAGACTGACTCTTCTGGAGACTCGCGTTATCAGCTTCCGGAAGGGCAAGGTAACATGGTCCTAGAGAAGCCTGCCTCTGACTGGCTCCCGCTCGCAGCCCCCGGTCCTCAGACCCTTCTACACCCACCTACCTGAGGCACCTTCTAGCGTGAAACCTCAAACAAACAAAAAGTAGGGAACACTCGATCTGGACGACCACCGCCAACTCCGAAGCAGAAATCCTCACAACCCGAGCCTCCACAAAATTCAAACTTGCTGCACCAAGCCTCTGATTGGAGGGACTTTAACCAACACTTCCGGGGAAGATCCCGCCCCTTCCACTCGACGAGGCTTGCGATTGGTTTGCTTCGTGCGACATTTGAATTGATTGAAAGGTGAAGGGACGGTTCAAAAGATGGGTGCGGAAAGGAAAACAGGCGGGACTACGACGCGGGATGAGAAGAGGTGGAGCGGTGGGGGCGCTCCTGTCAGGTGAAGTGCCGGAGTGGGCGGCGGAGCTCGAGAGGTGTTGCTAGGTCCCTGGAAAAACTGGGCTGCGGGAATCTCCCCCAAAGCTCGCAGTGCTTTTTCTTTCTTTCTTTCTTTTTTTGAGACAAGGTCTCACTTTGTCGCCCAGGCTGGAATGCAGTGGGCCACTGCTCACTGCAGCCTGGACCTCCCGGGTTCAAACCTTCCTCCCACCTCAGGCTCCCGGGTAGCTGGGACTATAGGCGCGCACCACCACGCCGGCCTAACTTTTAAAAACTTTTGTAGAGACAGGGCCCCACTACGTTGCCCACGCTGCATTCAGGGCTTTTTAATATTCTTGTTTAGTCACAGAATCCAGCAGACCTTCCTGGAATGTTTTCTTCAGTAGACATTTTATTTTTTTTGTGTGGGTTTTTTTTTTTTTTTTTTGAGACGGAGTTTCACTCATGCTACCCAGGCTGGAGTGCAATGGCGCGATCTCGGCTCACCGCAACCTCCGCCTCCTGGGTTCAGGCAATTCTCCTGCCTCAGCCTCCTGACTAGCTGGGACTACAGGCACGCGCCACCATGCCCAGCTAATTTTTTGTATTTTTAGTAGAGACGGGGTTTCACCATGTTGACCAGGATGGTCTCAATCTCTTGACCTCGTGATCCACCCGCCTCGGCCTCCCAAAGTGCTGGGATTACAGGCTTGAGCCACCGCGCCCGGCCCAGTAGACATTTTAAACAAAAGGCTGACTCCGGTTATCTCCTTACATCATTTAGTGTTACTTTTCAACATCACAAGCCCCTCCTCCCCGTTTTTTTCTTTTCTAGTCCATTTTTTGTTGAGGTGAAGTTTTTGTACAGTGAAAATAATAGTATTTTCCCCCCAGTGGACAATTTGTTGAGTTTTGGTAAATGTAAACAGCTGTGTAACTACCACCCAATCAGGACGTAGAGCATTTCCATCACTCAGCAGAGTGGCCTGTGTCTTTCCAATCCTCCCACCGCATCAGCAACCACTTCTCTGATCTCTAATGCCCTAAAAATGAAAGTGACAGGTACTCTTTTGGGTCTGTATGAACCAGAAGTTAGTAGTTTTTGTTATTGAGAGGCATTCCATTGAAGACTTTATGCATTCACCAGTGGACAGCTTTGTATTGCTTTCAGTTTTTGGCTATTATGAGCAAAGTTGCTGTAAACATTCTTATACAAGTCCTTGTAGGCATATTTTATTTTTCTTGAGGAAATACAGGAGTGGAATTTCTGGGTCATTCTGGGTATGTTTAACTTAAAAAAAAATTTTTTTTTAAAGCAGGGTCTCTCTGTCCCCTGGGCTAGAGTGCAATGGTACAATCATAGCTCACTGCAACCTTGGCCTCTTGAATAGCTGGGACTATAGGCGAGTGCCATCACCCTTGGCTATGGGTGTGTCTAACTTTATAAGGAATCACCAAGCAGTTTTCCAAAGTGGTTGTACCATTTTACTATTCCCACTAGCCATGTGTAAGAGTTCCACTTGTTTGACATGCTTTCCAGCATGTTCGGTTGTCAGTCTTTAATGGTCACCTTTCTGGCTGGGCACAGTGGCTCATGCCTGTAATCCCAGCACTTTGGGAGGCCAAGGTGGGCAGATCATGAGGTCAGGAGTTCGATACCATCCTGGCCAATATAGTGAAACCCTGTCTCTACTAAAAATACAAAAATTAGTCAGGCTTGGTGGCACACGCCTGTAGTCCCAGCTACTCAGAAGGATGAGGCAGGAGAATCACTTGAACCTGGGAGGCGGAGGTTGCAGTGAGCTGAGATCCCGCCACTGCACTCCAGCCTAGATGACAGCATAAGACTTGGTCTCAAAAAATTAACAACAACAACAAAAAAAAATCGCATCACGGAAAACTGAGTATCCATACCCTCAAGCATTTATCCTTTGTGTTACAAACAATCCAATTCTGCGTATACTTTTAGTTATTTTAAAATGTGCAATTTATTATTGACTATAGTCCCCCTGTTACATTATCAAATACTAGTCTTAGTCATTCTTTCTAATTTTTTCTTACCCATTAGCCATTCCATTGTTATGGTTTGGCTGTGTCCACACCCAAATCTCATCTTGAATTATAGCTCCCATACTCCCCACATGTTGTGGGAGGGACCTGATGGGAGTTAATTGAATCAGAGGGGCAGTAACCCTCATGCTGCTGTTCTCCTGAGAGTGAGATATCTAATGGTTTTATAGATATCTAATGGTTTTATAAGGGGCTTTTCCCCATTTTGCTTGGCACTTTTCCTTGCTGCTGCCATGTGAAGAAGGATATGTTTGTTCCCCACCCCCCCGCCATGATTGCAAGTTTCATGAGGTCACCAGCCTTGCTGAACTGTGAGTGAATTAAGCCTCTTTTCTTTATAAATTACCCAGTCTCAGCCAGGCGCGGTGGCTCACCCCTGTAATCCCAGCACTTGGAGAGGCCAAGGTGGGTGGATCGTGAGGTCAGGAGTTCAAGACCAGACTGGCCAATGGTAAAATCTCGTCTCTGCCAAAAAATACAAATATTAGCTGGGCATGGTGGCTCATGCCTGGAATCCCAGCTACTTAGGAGGCTGACGTAGGAGAATTGCTTGAACCAGACCTGGGAGGCGGAGGTTACAGTGAGCCAAGATCGCGCCACTGCACTCCAGCCTGGGCTGCAGAGTGAGACTCCATCTCAAAAAAATAAGAATAAAATAAAAAATAAATAAATAAATTACCCAGTCTCAAGTATGTCTTTATTAGCAGTGTGAGAACAGACTAATACACCCCATGCCCTTCACGTTCCCCACCCCTCACTACCGTTCCTATCCTCTGATAACCATCCTTATATTCTCTATCTCCATGGGTTCAATTGTTTTAATTTTTAGATCCCAAAAATAAGTGAGAATGTGATGTTTGTCTTTCTGTGCCTGGCTTATTTCACTTAATGACTTCCAGTAGTAGAGATAGGGTTTTGCCGTGTTGGCCAGGCTGGTCTCAAACTCCTGACCTCAGGTGACCCGCGTTGGCCTCCCAAAGTGTGGGATTACAGGGGTGAGCCACCACACCTGGCCTTGTGTGTCTTCTTTTGAGAAATGTCTATTCAAATCTTTTGCCCATTTTTAATTGGATTATAGATTTTTTTTCCCCTATAGAGTTATTTGAACTCCTTATATAGCCTGGTTATTAATCCGTTGTCAGATAGGTAGTCTTTTTGTTTTTTTTTTGACAGAGTCTCACTCTGTCACCAGGCTGAAGTGCAGTGGTGAGATCTCAGCTCACTGCAACCTCCACTTCCCAGGTTCAAGCGTTTCTTGCCTCAGCCTCCTGAGTAGCTGGGACTACAGGCACCACCATGCCCAGCTAATTTTTTTTTTTTTTGAGATGGAGTTTTGCTCTTGTTACCCAGGCTGGAGTGCAATGGTGCGATCTTGGCTCGTCACAACCTGCGCCTCCTGGGTTCAGGCAATTCTCCTACCTCAGCTTCCTGAGTAGCTGGGATTACAGGCACGTGCCACCAAATTTTTTAGTATTGTTAGTAGAGATGGAGTTTCACCATGGCCAGGATGGTCTCAATCTCTTGACCTCATGATCTGCCTCTTCGGCCTCCCAAAGTGCTGGGATTACAGGTGTGAGCCACTGCCCCCAGCCCAGACGAGTAGTTTTAAAATACTTTTACCTATTCTATGGGTTGTCTCTTTACTTTGTTGATTGTATCCTTTGCTGTGCAGAAGCTTTTTAACTTCATGTGATCGTATTTGTCCATTTTTGCTTTGGTAGCCTGTGCTTGTGGAGTATTACTGAAGAAATTTTTGCCCAGGCCAATGTCCTGCAATGTTTCCTCAATGTTTTATTGTAATAGTTTCATAGTTTGAGGTCTTAGATTTAAGTCTTTAATCCACTTTAATTTGATTTTTGTATAAGGCGAGAGATAATGGCCAGGGTAAGTTTCATTCTTCTGCATATGGATATCCAGTTTTCCTAGCACATTTATTGAAGAGACTGTCTTCTCCAATGTATGTTCTTGGCAACTTTGTTAAAAATGAGTTCACTGTAGGTATGTAGATTTGCTTCTGGGTTCTCTGTGCTGTTTCATTAGTCTATGTGTCTGTTTTTATGCCAGTACCAGGCTGTTGTGGTTGCTGTAATTCTGCAGTATAACTTGAAATTGGGTAATAGGATTCCTCCATTTTTGTGCTTTTTGCTCAGGATATCTTTGGCTCTTCTGGGTCTTTTGTGATTCCATATAAATTTTAGGACCTTTTTTTCTATTCCTGTGAAGAATGCCATGGGTATTTTGATAGGAATTGCATTCAATCTGAAGATTGCTTTGGGTAGTATGAACATTTTAACAATATTGATTCTTCTAATCCATTAACATAGAATACCTTTCTATTTTTTTTGGTGTCCTCAATTGGTTTCATCAGTGTTTTATAGTTTTTATTATACAGATCTTTCACTTCTTTGGATGTTAATTCCTAGGTAATTCATTTTATTTTGTGGCTATTGAAAATGGGATTACTTTTTTTGTTTCTTATTCAGACTGTTTATTGTTGGCATATTTAAATGCTCCTGATTTTGTATGCTGCAACTTTACTGAATTTATCAGTTTTAGTAGTTTTTTGGTGGAGTCTTTAGGTTTTTCCAAATAGAAGATGATATCATTTGCAAACAAGGATAATGTGACTTCTTCCTTTCTAATTTGGATGCCCTTTATTTATTTCTCTTGTCTGATTACGCTAGCTAGGAGTTCCAGTACTTTGTCAAATAACAGTGGTGAAAGTGGGCATCCTTGTCATGCTCCAGATCTTAGAGGAAAGGCTT